GATAAGTCTAACTTCTTCCTACTCCGTTCAAGCATGTACTAGGTATAAGCAAATTGATAATGGATTAGCATTTGTGGATATGTGTGAAATTATGTGTGTTGACATATCGACTGTCTTTACATGCTTGAAAGAATAAAATCAATCAATCAATCAAAAAACTACCCAACACAAACCATTCTCACATGTACTCTTGAGAGTACAATATGATGCAGCTCATATATCTCTGATCTGTAATAACTGAATTACTGATGCATCCAGCAGATGTAAATGTCATCAATGCATTTGCAAAGTCATATCAAATTGATTTGTTATTCAGCAAATTAGAACATATATCCACCAGCTGTTTGTATAATTAATGCTTATGTAATTAAGAAAGATAGAGGCTTTAATCAAATGGTGACAGTGTTAGAGGCTAATGAGTTGCAATGAGTCAATGAAGTTGATGCCGCCACACAGTATGAAACTCACATGAGCGTTTGTATCTGCATGTGCTCATCTGTATATACCACAGCACACACATCTAACAACTGTCCAAAAATAATTTGGCTTTGTGTGTATGACAGTACATGTGTGGGTCTGTGTTTTGTATGTGCCACAGGGGAGGGTTTTTGGCCATCTGAGCCCTGCGAACTGTCTCTGTCAAAGACACACAGTATATTTCTGAGCCCTGCTAGCTGTCTGTCAACGACACACAGTATATTTCATTTTCAGTTTTTATTGAATTAGATTTTTCATTTAATTTGTTTATTTATCAGAGACCATGTACAAAAACATTCATCCCATGCAATGAGAAGAGATGTGTTGTACCCGATCTAGCTTCCTTCTGCAGTTCCTGGGCCGGCAGACACAAAACACAGTAGACGGGCAAATACAATCATTTAAATATAAATTCAAATCCCAGAGCACTATATAATAAGTAGAAACATACATTCACTAGTATAAAATCAAGTCACTGCACCCTCCCATTACCCTCGCTACATGCACACCCTCCCGAGCCATTAACATTTGGTATTCATGGTGGTGATAATATTGTGGTTTCTTGTCCAGTGAGAACATGCAGTATGAATCACTCATCACTATTTACCCAGTCAAAAACCTTCCATGCACCAGAGTGATTTCATTAGTTAGATGAATAAACAAAACCCAGCTGATTGATTTGCTTTCATTAAGTAGCTGAAGCCACAGTATGACCTTAACAGATTTAAAGAAAAGGCCTTCAAGTGCCAAATTGTTTTTCAGAACCAAGGTTAGAGTTATTCAGAGTCATACATTTTTCAAGTCCATTGTGGAGGTGTCAGCTTGATGGGTTTGTGGTACTGCGGCAATATCCAAACTTTGAATGAGTGCAAAGTGTGTAAATGTGCTGTGACAACTTACAATGCTGCCTGTTTATCTCTGTGTATGTGAGTGAAGTTGACCTCCTTTGGGGGTGAAAACAGAACAGATAAGTGTTGACAACGGTGTTAGATTGTGTGCTTAATGTGAGAGGAGAAAGGGCGCATGTTTGCAGAGCGCTGTCAACACGTCACAGTGGCTTGGTGGCCTTTTTTAACAACCCTCTTTTGGATTGGATTAGTTATTTTGTACCCATTTATTAACAAATCTCTGGTACATGCTCATCATGAGCAACAAGTGACCAAAAGTTTGAATGTGATTTTGAGAAGGAAAGTCTTTGCTAACACCTGCATATTTACAGTAATGTTAAATAATATGCATTGTCCCTGAAATAAAAGTAAATCTTTGTATGTATAATGTTCCAGTTAGAAAATGTGTGAGAAGTACAGTATTCCCCCTGCACAGCTTAGAACTAGACTATGAATTGATGTTTCTGACAGTATTTTATAGAGAGGAGGAGGCAAGGTCTAAGGATTTGAAACAGGCCATGGACCATTACATAAATTTTGTGTGTGAAGGTGTGAGTGGGGAGTTTTAAATTATAGTTTTATATTTTCTCGTGTCCAATTACAATACAGGAACTGTCTAACTGCAGATGTGCTGCGAGCTGTAGATCATTGATGTGTTCACTGCTCCAGATTTTCTTCTAATTTGCTTAATTGAAGTTAGCCTGCGCTGTGAGCTCAAGGTGACATTGTGATAAGTGCAGGCACAAGAGTGTGAGTACAGTATGTGTGCACCATGGCTTTTGCCTATTGAGTGTTGACCACACAAATATAGCTTCACGCCAGTGCTTCATTACACTAAAACACATTATCACCATTCAAGCACATGCAGTCTAATTAATTTTAAATTCACACACAAATAATTTTTAAATATACAGTATATGCATGTATCAGTGTCTTTATTTGTAGAGCGTTCATGGATGCAGTGATTTGGTGGTTCTGTGCAGACTGTGGTGTCTGTGCCTGATGTGAAAATAATACTTCCACAGACAGGTGTATTTTTCTCAAACTAAAGGCAACTTATAGTATTTCAGTGCTTGTATCAGTACATTTGCTCTGGGGTTTTATATTTTAGATAAAATAAATCCGACTTAGACAAATGTGCCCGTTTCACTGTGTGCATCTCTGTGGGTGCTCTCATCATATGCTGAATAATATACAAGGACTGTGATCAATGACATTCATTTCTTCTGGGAAACAAAAGTGGGCTTATGGTATTGTAATACTGTCATATAATAGGCTGAATCTGCTTATGGGTCAATGCTTGTATTTTCTTGTTTATCTGCTAGCCAGAATGTCTGGGTTTGTTTAATTCAGAAAGTTCTTACTGACCAAACTTATCATTTAGCAATTAGCACAAACTTTGTGTTTGTGTGGGGGACTTGTTTTTCTGTTTACAGTACCAGTGATATAGCAAGAAAAGGACACAACATGAGAACACTGAAATAAAAACAGAAAAACCTCAGAGGAAATGGAGCTGTAGGTCCCTGGGGTCTCTGGAATCTCCACTGCAGCCTGCTAGTGTCTGTCAAACCACCTAATCATCATATGAATAATCTGCTTCGATCAAATCTATTATCAATAGCCTTGCTCCTTTCCCCTTTGTCCTGGTGGCCAACTGAATGACCCTCAGCTATAGAGTGCTATATCAACATGTGCCAAATGCCATCACCTCTGCCAGAGCTGCAGGCAGTAGTTTTTGGAGCATCATATGTGCATGTGAGTGTACATATGCATGCACCCCTTCATCTTAAAGTGGAAGACTTTCTAATGCCAAATTGTTACATTTGTAAATAGTGTCTGCGACAGCACAATTTTATTAGGCTTGGGTAAATCTGTTTAAAGAATCTAAAATTGCTCTTCTGCACTTTTTAGGGCTAATCACAACGACTGCGAGGAAACTGGACAGAGAACAACAGGCGGAGCACTTCTTAGAGGTACAGTAAAACCTGAACAGTGCTCATAGATTTAATATTATTATTTATCTATCCCTGCCATCTGCCACTATTAAGAGATACAAGGTGAAGGACAACCCTGGCAGGCCCTCAAGGCTCCATAAACTGTGATGAATGGCTGTAGTTTTGGGCCCCAGGTTTAGGATTTTCTAAACATAATCATTCATCATTGGTTATCTTCTCTAGTCAGGATGAGAGCAGGGAGAAGAGGAGCTGCTCTGCCTAGTGTTTGATAAGTGCAAACACTGAGCATACAGCTCTGTGATTACCATTTCTGTTGCTCCTGCTGCTCTGCATGCAGATGAACCTGATAATCAGAGATTCTTGACTTTAGAGATGAGCAATCTCCGGTTCCCTAGACGTTTCCTACAACTTATTAAATGCAAACACTTTGGCCCCTCTACAAATGGAGTATTGCAGCTTGGTGTGTTGATTCCAATTGACTTGTCTAGGCTCAAAAAGTCTTTGTGTTGCACTCTCAAGCTCCAATAAGAACCCAGAATTTTAAAATGGGGAGAAAAGTCGTTCTTGTTATATCATCCTGTCCTGTCTTGTCTTGAGACTTCAATGGGAATGCATGCCATGCACTGCTCTGTCTGTCTGTAATTAAAAGTCTAGTGAGCAGTCAGGCTGGCAGCAGTAGTGTTCACCCTGATCTGAACCAAATGATCAATTGATCAGACCTCTGCCTCTGCCTCCCGGGGATCAATAATACAAAGAGATTTCCCGTGAGCTCAGCTCCACGTGGCCCTGCACCACACAGCTACTGCCACACAGTGGGAGCCAATGTTGAAGATGCTTTTAAATGTATGCATTCACAAAGAAAAACCATATACATATTACAAAACATGTTTGAGAGACAATGATGCATGTGTATGACTACCTGAAGTGATTTTACTGTATGTGTATGAGTGCTGGTATACTTGTGTGTTTTCCTCAGGTAACAGTCATAGATGGTCCAGTGACCACCCGCCAGTCTGCAGTGTGGGTCATAGTTCACATTGAGGATGAGAACGACAACCCTCCCACCTTCCCAGAAGTCACCTACCGCATCAGCCTGCCAGAGAGAGACCGCAACAAACGTGGTGAACCGGTCTATCGTGTCTTTGCTTATGACCGTGATCTGGGAGCCAATGGTAACATCACCTACAGCATTCTCGATGGTAATGACGATGAAAAGTTCAGCATCGATCCCAGGACAGCTATGGTGTCATCGAAGAAGATGGTAACGGCGGGAAGTTATGATGTCCTCACTGTGAGTTTATAGAGTTTAAACCATGGTAATTTTTTTTTTTTTTTATGAACAGCCTTCATTTTTCATCTGGCATCTTCTTGGGCATGAAATGGCACTTGTTTCCACCACCCAGACTTTGTCTTTTCCCCAATACAGGTACACAGTGGGCTTTATTTTTATAACAATTAGTTCTTATACTAACACTGCACCAGCTTCGTTTACACCATATTTTTCTTATTGGGATTCACTGATTAGTTACTCCTGCCCATGTGCCCTTGGAGTTTGTTTTTGCCCTTGTGCTCAGTTTCAGTGCTTATAGTTGAATTGTGGAAGCAACCTTGTCTAGCAACATGGACAACAAACACATCAATCTTCTCCCCTTCAGCCATGTTTCTTTGTTTCAAGGGTAATGCTGAAATCAAGTGTTTGGCTCACAGATTCCGGTTTTCAGTGAGCAACACCATATTTTTCAATTAGATCATATAGGTTCCTCCAAAGAATTGGTTCATTTATTTTAGTCAGTGTTGCTCCTGTGTGTGAGAGGCAGAGCAAGCTATTTGAAGTCAGGCGGGGGCAGCCTACGTCTTTATGTTTCAGCTGAATATCTGGTTTCTGAGTATTGTTCCTTCCCTTAGATAAAAGCAGAGGACAGCGGCGATCCCCCATTATGGTCAACTGTCAAACTCCACGTAGAGTGGATTCGCAAACCTGCACCCTTGCCTCTGCCCCTACTGTTCACCCAGAGGTACTACAATTTTTCAGTTTCGGAGACGGCGGCTGTCGCTCAGCCAGTGGGAGTAGTCGCTGTCAGCCAGTCGAGCACACCTGTCTGGTTCAATATCATTGGTAAGACAATGAATGTATGATACTAAACTAACTGGTCAGAGTACTGGGCTCTGATATTGAATTATTTTAGTTTTTCTTGTCAAATTACTTCAAATGCAGTTATCTGTCATATGATTTGTGATATTTGGTTATATAAATAAACATGATATCTGAATTGCACTTGAAACTGGTATCAATTTTTTAATTGCTATATTAAACAGTGTGTGTGGAGATTCTAAGTTGAACTGCACTTGCTTAAGGGTTCTTGCAGATGTTTAATCTCATCTGTGAAGCTTCTCCAATTCTCAGGTGAAACATCTTCAAGAACCTTAAGCAAATCAAGTTGCCACTTATAGCACTTTTAGATATATTAACTTGATATATTAATGAAAGGCTTTAATCCAGAGGCCATCAGGCTTACAGTATGAGCACAGGAGATGTTCATTTAGTAATTCTTTTGAGAGATGTTATACTTTTTAAGTTGGACCAATTCAGGATGAGCCAGAACCAAAACAATGGAAGTGATACTCCATGTAATTTTATTTTTTTTTTATTTGGAAATGCTACATTGCTGGCTTCCCCACAGACCTCCACAACAACTTTGCTGTAACTACAGTAGGATATATCTGATATAATTGATTTCTATTACCTTTCTCTATAGAAAAGATACTGATGGCACTTTTTAGAACAACATTTCTCAAGCGTCATTGGTTTGTTAAAATCATAAGGCTGATTATGCACAGGCAAAAGTGCAATGTCTTTGCAAAACATTGCATTTCTTTAAGGTTTATTTGGCCAAAAGCTGGTAAACAAATGAACAGAAAAAATGGGAAACATTAGTATGTACAGTAGCTTTCTTACATTTTGTTAGTTGCTTGTTCTTTTTCAGACACGCATTAAAGAAAATGTAAATGTGCTGGGTTTTTGCTGTTCACCTCCTACTGTGGATAACAGTGCAGTAATTGTGAAGGAAATGTCATTAATATTTATTATTTTTACATAAATGGGAAGTATAGTGGTGATTATATTTTCTTACAAACTTTAAAGCTAGACTCAAGTATTATCCATTCATAAATATTTACCATACTGTGCTGAAGTATTTGGATTACATTACTTAACAGACATGAGTGTGGAAAAACATCAAGAGGTCGACTTTGCTGAGTGCTGTATATGCAGACAATTGATCACAGACTTTCTTTGGCTCTTTATAAATTAATAAATTCTTTCTCTTTCCTTTGCTCTCTCTCTGTTAAGGTGGACGGCTCGCCAGAGAGATGTTCTATATTCCACAGAATGCATGTGGAAGAAACTGCTCACTTGACACAGGTCTGGTCAAAGCTAATTTTGCCATACCTTTTTCTCAAATGCCTCAGGTCTGGAGAAATTCAGAAAGTCCTCCATACAGTCTCAGAGCCCTGTTTAGCCAAAGGCAATATAGATTGATTAGAATTTGAAAAAGGTTTCTCACACAACTCCACACAAACAGCTCTAGTTTCTTATCTGGTCCAGGCAGTACAGGTTTATGTCATTAGTTCAGCTACAGTGCTGCTACCTTGGAAATTAAATGGGGAGGGGCTATGTCTCAGACTGTAGCATTCCTACCTCTGAGGCTTCATTAAATGAAAGTGTTCTTATATTTTGATGTTAAGGCAGTGATGGCACTTACAGTAATGTTTAATTGCAGTTGGAGTCAAATGTTAAGGTGACAATCAGTATGGCTATAATAACACTATATCAAATGACAAGTAAAGGTGTGAAAGGAATTTTGCTGACTTTTGTATTTGGTTGACTGAAGAAGAATCAGGACACGAGAGTTTCCCAGTTCTTTACCGTTTTTGGTTCACTCACCACTCTCATTGTGTTGTTTTTTGACTGCACCAGGCAACTTTTTTAAGCTAAAAACCCACTGTTCACTACATGCTCAGCACCAAGCCGATGTTTGCGACTGGCTAGTCATGACTCTGGAGCAATTAGCAACTAAACAGAAAGATATTCCACTTAAGAGCTGGTAGAGACTGAAAACAAAGCTTAAAGGGTACTTACATTTTTTTTTTTTTTGCTATATTAAGTACACAACTATGTCAATGATGTTACCGCAAATTCTCCCACACCTCTCCCAGAGATCAGTTTCAGTATATACTGTATATCAGTAGTTTTAGAGTTAATGCCTTCATTCTTATGCATTCTTGGTAGACAGGTGCTATGAAACCAAACAATAAAGCAAATGAAACTAAACAAATGAAATGAAACAAAAATAATTGCCTAACAGAAGACAAATGAAAAGATTTATAAACATCTATTCTTCAAAAATCATGATTTAGTGACTAAACTATGCAATTTCCTTTACAGACATATACTGTACATTTAAATATTTGTTTGGATTTTTTAACGCTGTATGTGAAATATAAACGCTACTCTAACACAAATACCTAAACTATGAACCATGATCAGAATAAATGAGGCATCTCTAATAGACAAGGGGAAAAGCCCCTTCATTTTATTTAGACACTGCAGAGTTTAATTTCTGTTTTTCTTAATAGGGTGACTGTTCTTCTGTGGTGTAATATTGACCAACCTCTCTTCTAGAAAAGAACAGAGCCAATCCCTGTGGTTTACTCTGACTCAGCACGCACCAGTGCTTCTGTGAAAAATGCCCAATCAGTATTCATATGCTGAGGAGAGCTCAGACTCCTAGAAGTCTCAAGAGAGATGCTGGAATGAGACGAAGGATGGTACTGAATACCTAACACGTATCAATCCTCTTCCTAACTCTAATCAAACATTAAGCCTCTAAACTGTATACTCACCACCCGTGGAAGAGACCTGGCTACAGGTTTTTGATCTCTGTGATGGGTTGTGTTTTCAAGTGATAAGACAGATGTTTGTGTGGCTGTTAACAGCTCTCAGGCTGCCAAGTGGTTTTGGTGCTACATTGCATTGAATTTCAGTTCATTTTATTTCACAGACCCTCCAGCTCCAGACGCAGGCACATGGCCAAAACAATTACACAGTAATAACTTAGAGCACCTGAGTTTAGCACATGAAGTGAATGCTGAATGACTGAAACTGTTTCTGAACTATGTGTATGTGTTCTAGGGAGCTTTGACATGCAGTTTGACCTTCAAGTGGGAGTGGGGACTTTAGTTGTAGCTAAACCCCTGGATGCAGAGACACAGTCTATGTACAACATGACTGTGCAGGTGACAGATGGGGCCAACTTTGCTTCAGCACAGGTACAAGCACTTTTGATTTGTTATGCACTGGCACTGCCTCTTATACACTTTAAATTAAATTGTTACACCTTCCTAAGGGAGCTGTTTACTCCTTCCTACGCTTGCATTCCCTTTTACTGAGGTTCTCTCTTGCTGTGAAATATGCTTTTTGTTGCTCTGTCTATTACATTTTCTGTGTCTCTGCTGTCTTGGCTGGTCTGCCTTGTAAGGGAAATCATTGATATCAGTCGATTAATGGGATTAGCCTACTGTAGGTGTATAAAGGTCAAGTGTTTGTTTGAATACAAAAATTGCCCACATCCCTCTTAGACAACACACTGTCTCGCTTAGAAAAGCACCATAAATAACCTGCAGCTCTGTATACCAGGGCTCAGCAGTTCTACTCGGTACTTACAGTACCTCAATGACTTTTTGAATGCTCCTCCTGTCTCTTTGTCACTCAGGTGTTCATACGAATACAAGACAGCAATGACAACCCCCCAGTCTTCTCACAGCCAGCCTATGATGTCAGCATTTTGGAGGATGCACCAGTTAACACGGAGCTGCTGCGGGTTAGAGCGTCAGACATGGACGAGCGAGCCCGTTTGAGTTTCTCCATCTATGGTAGTGTGGACCCAGCCAGTATGAGACTGTTCAGGGTCCATCCTGGCACAGGAGTTGTCTACATTGCAGACAGACTGGACTATGAGGCCAGAACACAGCACATCCTCACTATTATGGTGAGAAGGGAGACAAAGAGATTAATGTGTGCTTAGTTATCATGAGCCTTGTGTGTGTGTGTTACTCTATGTGCGTGTCCCCGTGCTCTCTTCCAAATGATGCTCCTCTTGGCAGCTGTGCCTGCCGTACCTAATTTTAGCTGATTTCTTTTATTTATTGCCTCCTACAGCACAATTGATATTCATCTCATTTTGCCTGATGCTGCTCCAGGTCAAGGATCAGGAGTTCCCATTTAACCGAGACCTGGCTCGTGTCTTGGTGGCAGTGGAGGACTCCAATGATAACATCCCCTACTTCACCAGCACTGTATATGATGCAGTGGCTTATGAGTCTTCTCCCGTAGGCACTTCTGTACTGCAAGTGACAGCCTTAGACAAAGACAATGGGATAAATGGGCAACTCGTGTATTCTGTGGAAGCAGGTGTGACACTGTTTGAAAGTAAAGCTGTTGATTAGTTTTATTCCTCTTTTGTTTTAAATAGTGCTACGACTGTGCTTTTTAATTGTTTGGTCAAAAGAACAAACTGGATTAAAATTATGTTTTTTATATTTGCAAGTAATGATGTCTGTAACCTTTCTGCTACTTTTAGGTAACACCGGTGGTGTGTTTAGCATTGATAATGCCACAGGCCTTATCTTCATTGCCAGGGACCTGGACCTCACCTGTGTGGGCTTCTACACCCTCACTGTGCGTGTTACAGACAGTGGATTTCCTCCTTTAATGGCCACAGCGTCAGCTCGCATCTCCTTGATACTCTCCAACCTCTCTAAACCCAAATTTTCACAGAAGGAGTATCAGGCTGAGGTAAAGAAAGAGACTGAAAGGACTGGTGTATGGGAAGGGAGAGATATAGTAGATGGAAGAAAGAAATGGCTTAAAAGTGGTAGGGAGGGATGGATGATACAGAAAGTAGATGGAGTAATCAATTTAATTGTGTACTTAACGCACTAAGGAGCCTAAAATATAATCACCGATATCTTTGCATTTACAGATAATGGAGAACAGCACTATTGGAACTCATGTAACCACCGTTAGTGCCCTCAGCCGCTCAGCACTCATCTATGAAATCACCAGGGGCAATGAGGAGCGCTGTTTCTTCATTAACCATCACACTGGTGTAATCAGCACACACAGGCTACTTGACTTTGAGGTTTGTTAATACTTGTGCTTTAAAGTAATGTAGTTTCTTTTAGGGGTTATGTATGCCTGCAGCAGCTGTTTAAAATAGCAGGTTTCCTCACTCACTGTATTTCTGTTTTTGGGCAGCAAACAACATCATACTTTCTAGTGGTGCATGCCCTGAGTATGGCTGGAGTGGAGGCCAGCACCACTGTCAACATCCAGGTTGGGGATGTGAATGACAATCCACCTGTCTTCCAGAAAATCAGGTATCAGCTGTGGTGAAAGGTGGCTTACAGAAGAGTAGACCTTTGGCACTGACATTCTGGTCCCTGTGCTGTGTACTGAGCTGTTGTCTGCTGACAACATATAATTTTCTACAGTGATTTTAAATATAGCTTCCCTCTGTTACAGCCATGCCCTCTTTTTACCTTAATAGGTATGTGGGCACAATCAGTGAGGCTGCTCCAGTCAACAGTGTGGTGCAGGGAGAGGATGGTAATCCTTTGGTCATCCTGGCCACCGATAGGGACCACAATCACAACGCCCTGCTAGTGTTCCAGATCATAGAGGAAACTGCTTGTATGTTTTTCAGCGTGGACTCAGGGACTGGATCGATTCGGTAAGTGACAAGTAGAAATCAGACCAGCTACTACAAGTTACCAGTTATCACGGTTCTGAATGTTTGATTTACCTGCTTACACACTAATTTATGGGGGCACAAAATGGTTTTACTCTTGTTTAAATGGTTCCTAAAATTTAGAACAATTGCCAGTCTGGATTATGAGATCTTCTCTGAGTTCCTCTTCCGGGTTCATGTAAGAGACAGTGGTCAACCACCTAGGAGCGCTGACAGCCAAGCAGAGGTGATTATAAAGGTGAGTAAATGTCATGAATTATCTTTCAATATACACCATTATTGACACACGTTGATTTCACTGTAACAAAAATTTCTCTGTCTGCCCGTTTAAGGTGATCAACATCAATGACTCCCCTCCAAAATTTTCTCAGGACAATTATGAGACAGTCCTTCTTCTGCCAACCTACATGGGGGTTGAGGTCCTTAGGGTTGAGGCTTTTGACCCTGATATGACCTCTTACTTCACCCAGAACCTTGACAAGTCCGTTACCCCCCATCTAGTTTACTCTCTGGTGGACAGCAATGTGGAGCACTTCGCTGTGGAACGCTACACTGGAGTTGTGACCGTCATCAATCAGAGCATCAATAAAGAGCATTACCGCTTTAATGTGAAGGTAAGTAATTGACCATTAATGGACATGGGACCTGATTAGAATTTCTATGCGTCTTGTCAGTAGCTCAGATAAGTAGCATGCTTTCACTGCCTCATAAACTATCGGTTTAGCCTGGCTTATATAATAATGATTTCCACTGGGAGTTTAGAGGACATGCAGGGTCGACTGCAGAATTGTGCACCCAGACCCAGGGTCTTGGTGTAGAATATTTCAGCTAGTTGAGACAGGGTTTCCTGGCCAGATAGATGGGTGGCTCCACATCCACATCTCCATGCCCAATAATTGCTTCATTAATTTTGTTTAGATAGAAAAGGGCAATGCATGCAAAATCTTCCTGAACACTACATACAGAATCCAGGATTATGTCCTTGGCATTAGTCTATTCAGAGTTTGCTGTCATATACAGTACAGTGTATAGTGTTAATAAAGTATGTAAACATTTGTAAATTCCTGGTTTTTTGTATTAATAAGGTGTAAAATGTAATCTGAACTTAATGTACAGCAAGTATATAAAACCACAATTATTTTTAAGCTTGTAACACACAAACAGTTGTAATCTTTCATGTTCATTTTAACCAGCTTCAGTGATTCCTTTAAACTGTTTACTGTTACTCTAGGCTTCTTTTTACCTCATTAAACATTATGTGTTTTACGCCTTTGGAGTCATCTTGCCTCAGCATTCACTCCCAGAGAGAGTAACCACTAAATTCTTGTCATTTATAGACATTTTGTCTAACTCTAAACTAATGAATATGTAAACTCTTTAAGATTAGTCTAACATTTTCCAGCTATATGCAAATCAAGTCATTTGTGATCTTTTTTTGTGGGGCCAGGGCCATACTCTGATCAGCAAATCGTTTTTTTAATAACAAACTCTTTTTTTTTAAGTCAAAGTAACTCTAACCCAAACTTCCAATTTGGTTTTACTCTAGGTTTGCTAACTCCTGAGTGCAGTTACCTTTTATTGATGTCATTAGTTTAGGGGTTCACATACTTTTTCCAGCTTGCACTGTGAATATGGTATACTCATTATGGACAGGAACAATACAATGAGTTGTGTGTTATTTATTAAGCTAGACTGTGCTTGTTCATAATTGCAACTTATATGAAGGTCTGGCCATATTTTAAGACAATTTTGTTCATAAATGCAGGTAACTGTAAAGGGTTCATGTACTTCTTCTTGCCACTGCATGTAAGGAACATTTTTGCCTTCTATGCCAAGAACCAAATAAGGCAGCCTTAACCATCTATTTCTGTCTGTTTGGAGGTGTGGGATGGACGTTTCTCCAGCATGACAACAGTCACTGTGCTTGTACGAGAAGCTATAGACAGCGGCCTGCTCTTCACCTTCCCAGTCTACACCGCCTCAATTCCAGAGAACTCACTCAATGTCACTTTAGTGACTGTTGTCAAAACCCTGGAGGACGCTTCGCCATTCGGCCTACATGTGGAGTGGTACTCACAATGGGTGTACCTTTTGACCGAGAGGAGAAGGGGAGTTACGAGCTGGTGGTGGAGGTCAAGAGAGAAGATGAGATACTGAGGGTGGCCAGAGTGACTGTACAAGTGCAGGTGGGTGTGAAAATGTATTTAAAATCAGTATGTATGATACACAGTAGCATCAATAAAATGTAAGATGAGAATATATGCTATGAACTATACACAGAAATTTAGTAGGAAAATAAAAAGAGGTTCTTAAGGGAATATATGTACTTTACTATGATGTGGGTGGCAGTTACTGTATATGTGTTGGCTGTAATAGTGTAATATGACATTAATTGTCAGTACCAAAGGTGTTTGTTGATCCTGTTACTAAACATTAAGGGCTGATTTCTTTAAGCCATTTTTCTTTCCAGTGGTCCCTTTAGATTTTCTCAAAGCAACTGTCATCTCTTCAGGTGGAGGATATGAATGACAACGTTCCACAGTTTGTGAATCTCCCCTATTATGCAGTAGCACAAGTGGAAGCAGAGCCAGGATCAGTTATTTTCAGGGTCTCGGCCATTGACCAAGACTATGGTCTGAATGGGGAGGTGTCTTACAGCCTGAAGGAGCAGCACAGGAACTTTCAGGTGACAGTGAAAACCTTCACAATTGCTGATAAGCTCTTTTTAAAGTGTTGTTTAAAATGATTATTTATCAATTTTAACATGTTCCTTGCAGATGAATCCTGTGACAGGAGAGCTGACTTTAAAGAGAGCCTTCGAGGCAGACTTATCTAATGCTGAGTACAAGCTGGTCCTTGTGGCCACTGATGGTGGTTTTCCTCCTCTGTCCAGTGAAGTGGAGCTGCCTGTTACTGTAGTAAATAAAGCCATGCCAGTGTTTGACAAGCCCTACTATGGTATCACTGTCAGAGAGGATGTGCCTGTATCCACCTCTGTCCTTTGTATCAATGCCACCAGTCCTGAAGGCCAGAGAATCATCTTCACCATCCTGGATGGTGACCTGTCCCTCCAGTTTGACATTGGCTTTGACACAGGAATCATCAGTGTGATTTACCCATTAGACTATGAGACCATGCAGTATTACCGGGTGACGGTGAAGGCCACAGATACATTGAGTGGAGCAAAGTCTGAAGTCAATGTGGACATTGTCGTACTGGATGTGAACGATAACCCTCCACTGTTTCAGAACACTTCATACTCCACTGTGCTTTCTGAGAACTCCATGATTGGAACCACTGTGTTACAGGTGTGTGTGTATGTCTTTGTTCAACGAGTCAGTCCAGTGTGTGCTCTTACTGAGTGATTGTTTACATTCGAGACCCTATAGCAATATTGTGAATGAATATTGGATGAGAAGCTAGTGTGATATTTCCCCAGACAGTTCCCAGTGGAAGTGCTTGACCTTTTGCAAATTATAGACCAGTGATCATGTTGTACTGAGGAATTGTTTTGCACAAGACAATTTTATGACATCACTTTTTTGAATTCACAGATTTTTGTAACAGTTTCTTTTGTCTGTCAGCAAAATAGGCTACAGGCCTTATTTTACTGCATTACATTATTATGAATAACAATTTTATTTTGTTACTGCAGCTCAAAACAGTTGATCAAACCAACAGTACAATAGTGTTTTTCTCCCTCTATCTTAACATGAGTACAAAACATATCAAATAAATTAAACTTTTTCATGATTGACCCGTAAAACGTGGTTGCATGTGCAGCTTACATTTGCTTTGCAGTTGGACTCAATGTGAGTACTGTAGCTATAGAACATATGAGAGTCAACAAATCAGACTATCTTGAATAATGCACGAGACAGAGCGACAGCTAATGTTAAATGTTCCTGCAGGTGTATGCCCAGGACCAAGACTCTGACAAGAATGCAGTGGTGAGTTACCAGATCCTATCTGACATCTACAACAGCACCGACTACTTCCACATTGACAGTAACAGCGGACTTATATTCACGGCACGCCTGCTGGACTATGAGCTCATCCAGCGATACAACTTCATTGTCAGAGCATCTGACAGCGGAGATCCTGCCCTCAGCAATGATGTTAGCGTCACTGTGACTGTTACCGACACAAACGACAACCCGCCTAATTTCAGTCAAACACTGTATGATGCCTTTGTCAGCGAGCTGGCTCCCCAAGGACACTTTGTGACTTGTGTTCAGGCGTCAGATGCTGACAGCTGTGATGCTCATAGACTGAGGTAAGAAAAAAGAAAAGCTTTAAAAAGTTATTATTTTGGTGTTTTCGCTGTAATGTTTTGTACTATGATGATTAGTCGGTGTATACTGTTCCCCATTGAACTGTGTTTAATTTGCAGTGTGCCTAAACTTTTTGACTCATTGTTTTTAAAAGAACAATGTTCACAAAGCTAGTTTTTGTTCCATTTTCTGGTTATAAACAGTCTTAAGTCTATTATTTCCTCAAGGATTTCTGACTCAGTACTTCTTGAGAAAAGTAGATATTTGTATTTTCAGCATCTACCAAGCAAAATAATACTTTACAACTTAATCACTGTTGTACTCTCTCTGTCTTTGTGTTTTTTTTTTCGATTTGCCTTCAGGTATAGTATCCTCTCAGGGAATGAGCAGATGACTTTTACAATGGAGCCAGATACAGGGGTGCTCAATCTGTCTAATAAAAGGAGACAAGGCATGAAGCTCTCATATCAACTCAATGTGTTGGTGTCAGATGGAGTCTTCACCAACACTGCTCAGGTGAGACAACTTCAGGACAGTTGCAATTTAGTTCTGACAACTGATTTGTGCTTTTTTTTTCAACATTTCCTGTTTATTTGAGTGACCTTCTTCAGCACCCTCTCACTTCAAATTTATCACAAAGGTTTGCAGCCGTCCAGTTTAACTGCAGTTATTTACTACTGATTGCTGAACAGCCCTGCAGTTGGAGGTTAATGTGTGTTCATGCCACATCAGATTGACTGAGGATGAGCTTCCAACTGGAAAAAAAGTTCCCATCTGTCTCTTGTGTCTGATTGACCACGCTGTAGCAAAAACGTGTCATCCCATTTATCTGACATGTGAACACAGCATGCTTCCACAGCAGTTTTTTAAGAGATATGTGATTACAGCTGGTCTGTAATCAATCACCATTTGATTGCAAGCCTGATGTTCTTACCTCTGAGGTCTGCATGCCATGCTGAAGTGATGACTGACAAATCAACCAGTGTTGATTCATCTCATGATGATGATGGTGGGATGTTGACTATAACAGTGACAGTGATTCACAGGTGGTTGTTCGTGTCCTGGGAGCTAACCTGTACAGCCCAGTGTTCAGCCAGAGGTTCTATCTAGCTGAGATCCCAGAAAATAGCCCTCCAGGGTCAAAGGTCACTGAGGTAAGTTTACTTTCTCGCCACTGATAAGCGGTGTTTTCTTTTTACATCAGTGATGCGGTAGAATTATGAAATAAACACTCTAACATTATTTCTGGAATATCTGGTCTTCCAGGTTAGAGCAACAGATGAGGATTGTGGGTTGTTTGGCCAGATCACCTATTCCTTCATCAGTGACCTGGGAAAAACTCAGTTCACCATTGATGCAGATGGAGTCATATCCACTCTTCAGAAATTAGACAGAGAAACTCCTCTTAACAAGGACATGGTGCTGACTGTTATGGCCCTGGATGGTGGAGGTATTCTGGACACTGAACAGACTGACTGTCAACTGATTCACTGACAAAAGCCAATTTTAAATCAGCTACTATTAGACTCCAAAAACACAAACATGTCGATTTCTTTAAATATGGCAACTTCAGCTAATATTATTGCATAACTGGTTGCTGTTTATGGTAAATACACTGTAGGTGTTGCCTTTAAAATGATGGCTTGTACTGTATACTATAAGAGTGTCTATATTACACATACATTATCAACTTCAGCGATGCATGTGATCATCCAGAATGGCCTGAAGTTAATACTATATGCATAATGAGGCTTTTTTTTTTCCTATATTAAAACTATGTACATTTGGTAAAACCATAAATTTATGTTTTCTTGTTTTTCCAGGCCGTGCATCGTTTTGCACAGTGCGAGTGGTTCTTGCAGATGAGAATGACAATGCGCCTCGCTTCAGAGCAGTGGAGTACCGCATGAGCATTAAGGCAAATGTTGCCAAAGGTTCTCTGGTCACACAAATCCAGGCCACTGACCCTGATGCTGGGTCTAATGGAAGGATCATCTACTCCTTGTACACCGAGGCACGCCTGTCACTGGTGGATGTGCTAGAGGTCAGTACGTTTTGATCTTTAGCATTATGCTTTAGACTGGTATACTTGACAAAACATTTTCACTACATAGATGCATGTTTAGTTTGTAACAGAGCTGCATACATATAAGTCTGACCAGGTCCAAACCTCAACAAATGTATTTAATGAGAATAAACCTTATTAAAACTCAGATTTGATGCTGTGACCCTCCCGATTTCAATGGATTAACAGCCATCTGGTAACTGTAGATTACACATTTTTACTCTTCAAATTGAAATGATGTTACATTGAGACTGATGCTTCACTCAGCACTCATCTTTCATAAAGGAAAAATAATAAGTAATAAAAGGGAAAGGAATAAGTAATAAACTACTGTGACTGGAAATTGAATTTAAAGGTGTAGTGTAAAAGGCTAATAAAACACAAAAATGATATGAAAACAGTAAAGTTGCGTGTGTAGTATATATAAATAAAAACAAATATAAAAATATAAAGTTAAAGCTCAAACATACAGTAGTTTACCTTGCCCTGATCCATGGAAATTAAAAGGGCAAAAACTGATAAAGTAAACTATGACCCAGTTCAAGCCAAAGACCGTTAAGCAAAAACAGGAGGACAAATAGTGATGTCCTGTTGGCTCAGGCACAGTCAGGTCAAAAATGTAAGCTGGGTGCTCCAAAAGCTGAGGTTCAGCTGCACCATGTGCATGTGCACATCAGTGATTTGACCTCTGACATTTGTTGCAGGCCTGCCCCCTCTTTCTATCTCTGCTTTCTGTAGCCCAATAAACAATAAAGGCCAAGAATGCCTGAAAAAACATTTTACCAACAGATGTTATCTTTATTACTGGGATTATTTTCTCTGAATTAAATTAAAATTGCATTGAGATTTTGCTGTTGCCTAGGTGGAGCCAGACAGCGGTTGGATGATGACTAAAAGCACTGTGGACCACCTCCAGGGGACAGTGCTGTCCTTCTTTGTCAAAGCCACAGACTGTGGTTCTCCGGCCAAACACTCCCTGGTGTCAGCCTTCATCCATGTCGTCCCTCCAGATGCATTTGTTCCCTCCTTCAGCCAGCCTCAGTACTCCTTCACCATCCCCGAGGACACAGCAGTGGGAACAGCCCTAGGGTCTGTGTACATGGGCTCTGGACAGACTGGCTTCTTCACTGCAATCGGAGGAGAGACTCTTGACAGCAACCAGGGAGGTACTTTCCTGGTGGAGAGGGAGACAGGTCTGATCCGTGTGGCCAAGCCACTAGACTATGAACAGGTCAGCATCTTTCGCTTCAAGGTTGCAGCGACAGCAAGAAGAGACCTGATTGAGTCTGTCTCCACTGTAGACCTGGAGGTTAAGGTTGGTAATGCAGTTAAACAGAAACAGTTAGCTAGACTTCTCTTTTTCTTTTTCTTTTCTTTTTTGAAGTAAATTAAACTGAATTTAATCTTTTTTATGAGTTCTAAATAAATAAATAAAAACATCTACACCGCCTGCAAAAAAACAGAAAACAGATGTGTACCCAGAGCCACACAGTGCTTATGGTATCCACTGTAATGAACACTGATATGAGCAGCATGTTTCACTCAGCACTATACAATTTAGAAAGTAGCAGTGACTAAAAAGGTGTAGGCTGAAACTCTCAATTTTTTTTCTTCATAATACAAAATAAAGGAAATTCAACATGGATACACAACAACAGAATAAGTAGAATCTCAAAGGCATATGCACTTGTATCACGACTCTAAATACGGTGCAATGTGAAAGGCTGTTGGTTTCGCGCTCTGTGCAATGTGTAGAAGTTGAACGTGAAGCAACTGAGGTCTGAAACTGATTACTGCAGGATTCGCTGTAGTTTCTCTTGATTTATGTTTTTATTGTTGTTAAGGTTTTATGTTTCACCCGCTGGTCATGACTTGGTCCTTTTATTGTTGTTGGTGTTTTTATATTGCTACAGTCTTGATTCAGAATGCAAGCCAAATTTCCCTATGGGGACAAATAAAGTATATGTCTTAATCTTGAGCAGAATCCGTGATGATTTGTCATTTCACAGATCCTAGATGTGAATGACAACAAGCCAATGTTTGAGACAAACACCTATGTAACGACAGTGATGGAGGGGATGCCTGTAGGCACAAGAGTCGTCCAAGTGCGTGCTGTTGATCCAGACGGGGGCTCCAGTGGACAGGTGTGTGACAGCCATGTTCAAGTGCGCTAAGTATTTTGTTCTTTTTATATTTTTTGCTTCAAATATATTTCATAGTGCAGTAGTTGAATTCAGTGTTGCATATTCTTTGAAAACTTTTTAAATTGCAGGTAACCTACAGCCTTGGAACTCTGCTCAGCTACAACTTGGACTCAACAATGGATACTCGCTCCTTTAATGGCCCCATCACTACAAGCTCTGTCTTTGCCATTGACAGTAAAACAGGCTGGATCACCACTGTAAGTCACATGGACCATGAGGCCTGCTCCAGCTACAGCTTTGAAGTAGTGGCCTCTGACCTGGGGGAGTCACAGCCTCTATCCTCCACCACAGTAGTGGCAATCACTGTGTCAGACGTTAACGACAACCCACCACAGTTTAAGAGGGAGCTGTACCGCGGTGCAGTAAAAGAGAGTGATCCCCTTGGTGAGGTGGTGGCTGTACTGAAAACCAAAGACCGAGATGGCACAGATCAAAACCGCCTAGTCAGCTTTTACATAACTGGTGAGGAAATTATGAGAACCCTTAAGCAAATTTGTTCAGCACATTCGGAGCTGTGATAACTGTCAGTTCAAAGTCAATTTTCAGTTTCCGAAACAAGTTGTAGTCTTTTACAGATTCACACGGGATTTTGTGTGGTCCCTCATTTTTATTGGAGTAACAGAAAACTCTTAGCTTCACACTCAGCTAGATGTTTTCCATTCACACAACAGTCTGATAACCACTAAGGATGGCATATTTGACCTTGTGTTCTGGCATTTAGAAATAGTGATTGGCTTAATGGATAAAAGGTCAGATTTTGAAACTTTGAAAGGCCATTGCTGCTACACCACCAGCCTAGTTTACACTATGATGATAAATGTGTTCCGATTGCCAAAGGGTACCTGCGTCATTTGTGTGTAGGTGTGGATGGGCAGGAGGCCAATTCTTATTCATCTTGGGAATTAATAAGACTCCCAGTATGTTGACAAGTCTGTTCCTCATCCTTATGATTTGCAGGTGGAAACCCGCAGGGTGTGTTTGGCCTGGCCCTTGTGCAGGGGGAGTGGAAGGTTTATGTGAGTGGTCTACTGGACCGTGAGCAGCAGGACTGGTATCTCCTTAACATCACAGCCAGTGATGGCCTGTATGTTGCTCGTACTGCAGTAGAAGTTACAGTTACGGATGCCAACGACAACAGTCCTGTTTGCAACCAGGTCGGTGATAAAAAGATATGGAAGCGGGTCAAAAAAAATGCAAGGGAAAAAAATCTGTGAGGTCTATGAGAGGAAAACTATAATGAAACTGTAAGATAATCAGACTGTGCAGTCTTTCCCAGAGCATCACTTTTCATTTGATTTTCATGAATTTTCTGTTGATTTACTACTTATTAATTAACTAATGATTTCAGGCCTAAATATTAGTAAATGCTATAGTCTACAGGATAAATATGATGTGGCAGAGCAAAAGTAGCAGAGATGTAAATGCTGAATTCTTTTTGGACATAGTTTAGTCAGTTTCCCACTGTGCCAATCTGTGGTTGGTGATGAAGAGAGGTCACAAAGATCATTTCTAGCAGCAGTCTCCGGTGGGAGTAGAGCAGGGTCAGGAAAGGGCACTTAACTGGGTTGTGCTTGTTCTGTCAGCAGAGATAATGGACATGGTGCCCAAGAGTTTAATGTGTTTTTGATGTGTCGGACAGATGTGTTTTTTTTTTTTTTCTCAGACAATATGCTTTCTCTGTGTGTGTGCGCGCGTGCGTTTGTGTTGTGACAGGCGGTGTATAGCGTCTCTTTTCCTGAGGACATTCCTATTAACAAGGGCATTCTGACAGTGGGCGCAACAGATGTTGACTCGGGATTCAATGCTGAGATTCAATATTCACTGTTTGGCATTGGGGTTGAAGATTTCTATATGGATGCAAATACTGGTACATTCAATTATTATTTTACTTCAGTTTTATTTTTATGACCAAAACAGTACAGTAGTTTTATACTCCTCTCCATTTGCGTCCCAGGTGAATTGCGTACAGCCACAGTCATGGACAGAGAATTGACACCCAGCTACAAACTCATTGCTCAGGCAACCGATGGGGGAGGGTTGTTCTGCCGCTCCTACATTTCTCTCAAAGTGCTGGATGTGAATGACAATGCCCCCTTCTTTTCCTCTACCCACTACCTGACTAGTGTGTATGAGAATGCTGCCCACAAAGCTTTGCTTACCAGGCTGCAAGCCAGCGACCCTGACGAAGGTAAGCTGGTTTGATGTTATACTGTTGCCTGGATATATCAGATGCCTAACATGTCAGGCCAGGCTTATAATGAGCACAGGGATGATTCTACGTGTACTGAATGCAGGTATCACTAAGCATTCCAACTGCTGATTTGGAGATGAGCATGGCCGAGAGCAGAATCTTTTTTCCGTATATGCCTTACACAATGTTTACATTTCTATTGCATCTTTCTGTTTAAAAAAGATGATTGTTGTGAACAGGAAGAAGAACATTCAGTCAATCTTTGGCATTCATAAGTTGTCTTCTGTCCTCTCCAGGTCTTAACCATACTGTGGTATATTCTTTGGTGGATTCAGTCAGTGGTTTATTCTCCATTGATCCAGTGTCTGGGATTGTAATTCTGGAAAAATCTCTGGACAGAGAGAGCCGAGACTCCTATCATCTTTGTGTCCAGGCCACTGATCAAGCTGGGCAACAGGGGGCACTCTCCTCACAGGTAAATGGGAAGTCCTATTGGCCCAAATTCATTGGTTTTTTGTCATGCTATGTACAGTATTTATTCACTAAACCTAACTGCAGGGAGTGTTATTTTACTCCAAAAGACAATCACACAAAAAACTGATGCATATCCTGAAATAAATGCTGGAGGAGTAGGTTAGAGCAGTGGTCTCCCAACTGGAGGGTTGGAGATTCAGATCACAGTGCCTGCAGTCCACATGTCGAAGTGTCCTTGGGCAAGACACAGAACCTTTAAGTTGCCCCCCGATGGTTACAACCATCGGTGTGAGTTGGCTGCCTCGGTTCTGTACTGGAAACAAATTCCTTGTGTGTAACATAATTGGCCAAATAAAGGTGATAACGTGATCCAATCCAACTTCCTAACATGTACAGTCATCATGTTTTACTTTTACATGATATAATCATAGTTTTTTTTGAGTAATGAAACCAGATATATAGTAATGAACACAGCAATATAAAATCATTTTACACAATATGTTTATACACTACATAATAAATAGTAGGATTGTCAGCCATGGAGTCATCTATCTGGTGATGTGCAATCTATATCTTTGTCCATACACGTCACACGGGAAAAAAAAAAGCCAATGAATAAATACATGTTTACTGAAGAGATCAGATTAAAAGAAAACACCTAGCAGATTTTAATTAAGATAAATCTTCATCAAAACGTGCAGTGGGTAGGATTGTAAACCTGGGGAAGGTGACAGTTACAGAGACAGAGGCAGTGCAGAAAAAAGGAGGAAAGGACCATAAGACAAGTTGAAATACCGTTGGTTCTCCCACACCCAGTAAGTTAACCACTAGACTGTTCAAGCAAGCCATAATCAGAAAGTAAAAATAAACCCCAGTCAGGTCTGGCCGTATTGGAAAAATACATGCTTTCACTGCGCACCGGCAGAATCTTAATATTATTTTTGCAGCAGTAGCTGCAGCTGTGATGATGGCAGTAGTAGTGGAAGTAACAGTAATGGTTTCAAGAGATGTAGCAGTATTTTTAGGTACAGTAATATAATGGCAATACATGCAGCAATACAAGTAATAATTGTCACATCCCAGTTGTCTGTCTGTGTACCAAATGCTGCTTGTGTATGCCAGGACAAACCAGTTGACTATATTTATGTAAAGATGAAGGTTGCTGGAAAGCATCAGTCCTGGTTTTCCAGTGTCCTCGTTCTGATCTCAACCCCACCAAAGACAGCACAACAACATCAGAAAATATCAACTTTTGACTCACTCAATATTTCCACAAATCTTTAACAATTATTTAGCAGCAGAGATATTTTCTCCCAGGCTTTGGTGAACATAAACCTTGAGTGATTTTTGCCTCGATTTTCTATTGTCTTTGTAAAGCATTGGCAGTAGTATCTTTTCTCCCATTAATGTTTATAGGCCCACTGCCTGTGTGCTGAAACTGAATTCTCAGGGCTGGGAGCAGCACAGATTAATGAATTGGTAGGGAGTCCTGTTACAATCTCTTATGTCTCCCTCAGGTTGATTTGACCATTTTGGTGCTGGATGTGAATGACAACGCTCCAGTATTCCAGAAGAGAGACTACACTGTTACTGTTCCTGAGGATGTAGCCGTGGGAACCGAGGTGGTGCGAGTGTTGGCAACTAGCTTTGACATCGGACCCAACGCTGACATCAGCTATAACATCCACTCAGGCAACGAGTTAGGAAAGTTCACCATAGACAGAAACCTGGGTGAGGTCCTTGTATGTAGCTGGTTGCTTTCAGTTACCACTTCCCTCTATTTTGAGTCATGAAATTAATCACATTACATTCTATATGTGTGGTACTATGTATATGTTTTAGGGTCTATTTCTGTGGCTAATGATTTGGACTTTGAGGTGTGTAAGGACTTCTACCTCACTGTTGAAGCGTGGGACAGTGGGAACCCTCCCCTCAGCTCTGCTACTATGGTGACCATTGAACTCATGGATGTCAATGACAATGCTCCAGTCTTCAGTCAAGACACCTACAATGTTGTAATCAGCGAGGATGCATCAGTTGGGCAGACAATTACAAGAGTAATATTCAGTCTTAATTTGTTCTCAGCCTTACATTAGTCTATCTTTATTATAAAACTTTTCTTTTTCATTAGCTTTTGTTTTATTTTCAATATGTGTTCTTCAGGTATTGGCAGAGGACCTGGACAGCCAGGTGAATGGACGAATCACCTACTCAATCCTGAAAGGTGACCGTAGCAACCACTTCTGGATTGACCCTGTAACAGGACTGCTCAAAGTCAATAAGCGGCTAGACAGAGAACTAGTAAGGATGCATCTTTATGTTCAATATCTCATAAAGAATCAATAATCATTTTATGGTTCATGAGCACAGCCAAGACATAAAACACCAAGTTCGCTCAAGGTCAACACTCAATGAAGTCTCATATTATGCAGGCATATCAGGTTTTATTATTATTGCCTGATACATATAGATACTATGCCACTTTTGTTCTCTTCTGCTACATCTAGGTATCCAGGTACTCTTTGTCAGTCCAGGCATTTGACAGTGGTTCTCCTGCCATGTCCTCTACTGTCACAGTTAACATCGATATCTCCGACGTTAATGACAACCCTCCTGTCTTCACACCTCCCAATGCCACAGCTGTCATACAGGTAATAGTGTGTGTGTTTTCTTATGTTTGTGCTCTTGTGCTCACATCATCTCAACTTCTCTTTCTATACTTCCAGCTAAATCAAGCTGCTGGCACCACCCTGCTGACGCTGTCAGTCAGTGATAAAGACTCTCCTAGAAATGGTCCTCCCTTTGAGCTTCACATTGTTTCAGGTAACGAAGGAAGTTTTTTCTCCCTGGACCAGACTGGAACTCTGCGGACCAACCGTGTTTTTGGCCCTGAAGCCCCCAGAGAGTTTACTCTTGAAATCCAGGTTTGTGAGCAGTATTTTCTTTAACCATTGTTGACTGATGAATACATTTTGTCTGCATGGTTGCACACAGACACCACCAAGCTGCCCATTACTTACAAAGTCTCGCACTGTTAGCTGCTAATTTAGGCTATTCGAATCTTGAGTTTGAAAAAGTGACCTTCCAGTATGGTGGCACCGGAGAGTCTGTCCATTAATACTGCATCACTGTTTTTAGGTTTCAACTACTGTGCATGGCTTTCCTTAGTCTTTGTCTCTGTATGTTTTTATTCTTTGGCTTAACAGATGCCAGAAGATGAGTGTTGAGTGAGTCTCAGTGTTTAAAGACAGTAAATCATTTTATCATATGACTTTTGTAAGTGCTCTATAACCAGTCATCTTCCCCAGTAAACAACTGAGCTCATTCTGTAATCAGTCCTTATTATTTCAGCAGAATTTTCTGTTTCTTTGATCTGAGCTATTGAGTTTCTTACTGTAACTTTGGTTTGATCTCTTTCTTAGGCAAGTGACTCTGGTATGCCAAGTCTTACCTCTTCTTCCTGGATATTTCTGAGGGTCATTGGGAACAGCCAGTACAAACCCGCCATCTCCCCTTTGGAAATCTTCATTGTCATGGTAACAGATACCTTTCAGGGCGGCCCAATTGGTCAGATCTATGCAACTGACCGCGACCCCAGTGACGTTCTGTCGTTCACTCAGAAGCCTCAGACCAAGAGCTTGTTAATGATCAACAGACAGGATGGCAGCATTGTATCTATGCCGGGCCTTGAACCTGGCAGGTATACACTACACTGCACAAATGCACAATTCGTTCTTGCACACACACACACACAGAAAATGTATGATAGAGAAAATGACCATTTGTGTCAAAATACAACACATTCCTTTGTCCTCTCTCAGATACCAGATGAATGCCACAGTGAGTGACGGACGTTTCGCTGTGATAGCTGATGTGTCTGTCCAGGTCGAACAGGTGACAGATGTGCTGTTGCGTAGCGCCCTGACCTTACGTTTCAGCTCCCTGTCCCCAGAGGACTTGCTCAATCGCTACCTGAGTCAGATCAAACTTACGCTACGTGGACTAGGTGGCTGGAAATGGTCACCAGGACAACAGGATCCCCTCCACATACTCACTGTACAGCCGGTGATGGGGACCTCTGATGTGGACTTACTTCTGGCCATGGAGAGGGCTGAAACATCAGGCAATAGACAGATGGGTGGGTTCTACTCCCAGCAAGAGTTGTCTGCAAAACTAGAGGAAGCAGCAGCGCGAGGCCAGATTCGCGGTGTCCTAGCTGGGGCTGTAGTGGTGAGCAGTGCTTGCTCTGGGGCGCTGGACTGTGGGGACAAGGTGTGTGAACAGACACTAGTGATGGAGGGCGGCTCGCCTGTCACCTACAGCACAGAGAGGGTCAGCTTGGTCGCACCAAGGTTCAGCCGTACAGAGACCTGCATCTGCCCTGGTGAGCAATGTACTTGTGTTTTTATTTGCCATCTAACTACTCTAAGCCCAGGTCACATTGTCAGTGTCCTTGATATCTATCACAGCTGCCTGTAAATATTTCCAGTACTGGCCATTAATTGTGTGTCTTAATGAAAACAATGACTATGTGGGTATTTTGTTACATCTACATACAGATATAAATTTAGAATCATCGTATTGATGAATTGAGATTATGTCTGAATAAAACAGATACTGTAACGGATCTAAAATAAATATAAACAATTTTCACATGGAAACATGATATTCTGACATCCTGAGGTATTATTTCTAATATAGGTACTACTCTTTCTGTATCTGCCCCTTTCTGAAAAGGAGGAACATGCCCCACCCATCTGGAGCTTTGTGAAGGTCAGACCTGTCCGGCAGACATGCAGTGTGTTCGTTCTGGTCCTACAGCTCCATCTGTCTGCCAGTGTCAGCCTGAGAGACTAGACGAGTGTGCAGGTATGATTCAATTCGTCCTTATACTTGAAGTTTTGTGTACAGTAACTGATCCAGGTGGATGAGTACATCACTACGTTACAAGAAACTGATTATGTGTTTGTCTTGAAGGCTTTCCTCTCTCATTTTAATGCTGTATTTCTATAATTTGTGAATGTGTAGGTCAAACCTCTCTGAGTTTTTCTGGAAACAGTTACATCAAGTACAGAGTGACAGAAAGTGGCCAGAGTGGAGAGATGAGGCTCAGTCTGAGAATCAGAACACTTCAGAGAAGAGGGGTCATTATGTTTACCCGTGTTAACCCCTGTACCATGCTCAAGGTAAATACTGGAAACAAATTCCTTGTGTGACTGTTTCCAGATACTGTAGCAGATCCGCTCAGTAATGTATTTTAATGGTTACATAATACTTGAAGATATAATTATTTCCCTTTCTTGTCACAGATTGAAGGAGGTCGACTCTGGTTCCAGTTGGACTGTGACAATACCCTTGGCATTATGGGTATTTCTGATAGAGCAATAAACGACGGTCTCTGGCATGCAATAGCTTTGGAGCTGACTAGGAACTACACTCTCTTATCACTGGATGACAGTTATGTGGAGCGTCGCCGAGCAGCCCGTGCACCTGTTCGCCTTTGGCCTCTGGACCCAGATTCATCCTTTTTCTTCGGGGCCCAAGTGAGGCCACTAAATGGGCAAGGCAAGAGGCCGAGGGCAGGGCCAGGGAAAAGTCAGGGAGAGCCAGGACTCGAGGACCATGGAGGGGTGAGGGCCCCACCAAGAGCCCAGGATGGTTTCCAGGGCTGCCTCAGCTCACTGATGCTGAACAGTAATGATCTGCCACTCCAGAATAAGAGGAGCCGTTACGCTGAGATAGCTGGGCTGAACGAGGTCAAATTGGGCTGTGTGCTGTATCCAGATCCATGTGTCAGTCAGCCCTGCCTCAATGGAGCCATATGCAGCAGCCTGCCCTCTGGAGGTCTGTGCAGATTACAGTGCAATCGCCTTGTATAAATAAATGACTTAAATAGCTGTTAGTATGAAATGTATTCACTCAGTTTTATTGCTTTAGAATCAACTTCAGGATTTTTATTTTTTCATCTGGTGACTTGTTTTTACAGTAATGACATCAACTTGTATATATTTAGCCAGTATTGTACTGTATGTAAATATGTAGTTACTCACAAATGAAATCACATGGCATTAGCAGGATTTAAGTTTGATATTATTTATTATCTCTCCCACAGGCTTCATATGCAGTTGCAGTGCTGGCTTCACTGGTGGATACTGTGAAATTGAACTGACATCCTGCATGTCAAACCCCTGCCAGAACGGTGGGCACTGCAGTGCTGCTGGCAGTGCATTCCTCTGTGGCTGTCCTCCAGGACTCGGGGGACTTATGTAAGCTAAGAGAGCCTGCAATCACATGCGCATACTTTTATGCCTTAATTATTGACTGTAAAAACAGTGTTTATGGATGGTGTGCCCTAGTCACACAGTATATGCACAATAACGGTTAGGGTGGTGATAATTTAGTAACATCTCATAACATGCCAGTCATAACATAACGTAACATCTCCCCTCTCGTGCACATTCAACCATGAAGGAACATGTGTAGGACTAAGCAAACACAGACACAGCCACCTTAGCACCCACTGTGTTGTTTTAGTTGTTATTGTGTGGCATAAATTAGTGTTTCTAATTTGATTCAGTATAATTTTGGTAGAAAAGGCTATAATCATTCTCTAGCTTCCTGCTTAATTACAGCTCAGTAATTGCCTTTGCTCGTGTGCTTGTTCAATGGAGCCACCACTAGAGAGCAGTTTTCCCTCAAAAGAGAAAATCCTTATGCTTTTGACAAAGAAGTTGGGTTAAATTAAATTTAGCTGTAAAATACCTAAGACAAAGATTAACATTCTTACAGGCTGGAGATTATTCAAATCATTATCAGTTAATGATAATCACTGACTGAATCCATATACTGTATAAAGCAAATCCTATGTCCTGCCACAAGCAAACAGTATAATTAGCCATGAAATAGTTTTTCCAGGTGAATGACAAATGATAATACACAGAATTATTTACATTTAAATATCAATCAAATAAAGTGTATTCAATGTGAAAGATGAATTATAGACTCAAAAATACAGAACTAATATGACACATCTTGCTGATTTATATTTGTTAATAAGGTATAAAGTATTCTTTTTCTAAAATACCCATGATCAGATATCACTGACCAATATATTTAGTCCTTGTTAAGTAAAGCAAGTCTTTAGACTTTTATGATTTAAAGCAAACCTTGGATAGTTAGAAGCAAGCATCCTTCAGTATACAGAAATGCATTTTCTTCTAACATCAGACCAAATCTGATAGAGTTTTGAAAAGAGAAAGTAAACTGAAACACCTGTATTTTCTATCGCCCACACAACAGGACACCAGCATTTATCAGTGAAATCACATATTTCACATTCTGTTGGAATTAAAATATTTATCTAAAAGTAACAATTTGTGTGTAGATGTGCTTGAAGTCAAGCATAGTTCTTTAAATCAGAACCACATAAATGAGATAACAGAAAATCCTTGATAATAATCCCTTGGTTTAGAAAAAGAAAGGCTCTCTGCAGTATTTATTTTGTTTTTGTAGTTTTAACTCACTGCCATGCTTTCATCTTTTATTCTCCTCTTTAACTTTAATAAAAATCATCTTCACAGCTCTTACACATATCAATGTTTTTGTCAACCTCTGCAGATGTGATGAGGATCTAAATGAATGTGACCAGGGAGAGTGCCATAATGGGGGAGAGTGTGTTAACACATTCGGCTCGTTCTATTGTAACTGCTCAGAAGGGTACAAGGGTCCGTTTTGTGATGATCAGACACCGGGTGATCTTGGGGGTGACACTCAGGTATCGTATTAATAACTGTCAACTAAACTTATGTCTGAGTAAATCTAACAGAATAGACTTGAATATATTCAGAAAAGTACTAGCATTTCCAGTCACTTCCTCTACATTCAATTGGACTTGGCATACGCAGTGAAGCTGTTGAGAATTCTGACTGTGCATGGTCCTCCCTTAAGGAATATTCACAAGCTTATCTTTGTCTCTGCAGGAGAACAAACAGTGTTGTAATGGTAAAATCTTAATTTCCCACCATCAAACATGCAAATTCACGACAGTTGTCATTTATCTTTCTACACAATTTTAAAGGAATCTGCACTAACATCAAAGATTGAGGGGGAAAAGTCTCATTTCTATCTTGACCTATTTTTTAGAGATAATTAACTTTTTTGTATGATTCCACCAGACAGTGACATATTAGGACATATCATGTATTTATGATGTTTCTTTTCATGTTGCCCAGGCAGAGGCTGTGTCGTACATTGGACCAGGAGAGATAATTGGCATTGGGGTCCTTGCGTTTGTCATCATTCTCCTCCTCATACTCTTCATCGCTTTTAGGAAAAAAATCAAATTCAGGAAAGACTCAGACCCAGGCCCGGGGACTCAGGCTTTGATGGGTGTCTCAGCTATTTCCACAGAAACCAGTTACATGCTGCACAAGACTGGCACGGTGGCTGAAGGGATTGAGTTTAAAGCTGTGCGTGTATCAGGTTTACCTGGGACCACAAGCACCTATGCTGAGTTGGGAGACAGCACTGGAGGCCCTCCCCAGGTCATGGTGCGTCCAACCACCTACTCTCCTCTGCCAGGAAGCCTCTGCAACCAGGGCATGACAGGTGAAGATGGTGGCATTTCCGGTGTGGGCAGTCAGGTATGTAAAACTAAGCACTGACATAACCGAGTTGCTGGTGGCTCTTACCTCTAAGCCCATTTATTCCTTCCGAGGGTATCGGGGAGCTGGAGCCAATCCCAGCTGTCATTGGGTGGGAAGGGATTCCCCCTGGACAGGTCACTTAACACAGGGGAAAACACAGAGACAGACAGTCTTTCCTGCTTACAGGCAATTTACAGTCACCTGTTGAACTAACCAGCCAGTTTTTGGTGTGCTGGCGGACACCGCAGTAGCAAGCGGAAACCCACACAGGCAACCCCATGAAAAACGCCACACATAAAGACTCCAGTCAGCCTGCAGGTTTAAATCTAGAACCTTCTTACTGTGAGGCAGCAGTGTTAACCTCTACGCCACTGTGCTGCTCCCGCTGGAGTTGTCATTAATAAATTGTAGACTATTATTGTTACTAGACTACTTTTTTTGCATATTTGTGCATTTCTGTTTTCTTTTGTTTTTACAGTTGAGCAGTTTCCTCTCAGAAATGTCTAATTTCCGAGGGGTGGTCAATAGAAGGGGTGTGGCAGTGTGCAGCGTGGCACCCAATCTTCCTGCAGCATCTGCCTGCCACTCTGAACGTAGTTCAGCTCACAAAGTGTCCTGGGAGGGTAAGGAAACCAGGCAGGAAGGGCTGGAGGCAGTGAGAGATGAGAGAGAAGAAGAATGGGGGCAGAGAGCTTTTGAGCTGGAGAGAACAGAGAGAGATCATAATCCACAGGGTGAGACTGGGAGCATGTGCATGCACATACATACACATACACTCATATGTGCACAGTGTTTAACCTCTGATCAAAATAGCACAGAGTATATAGGCCATGAACTCACTCTACCATCATCTCAGCTCAGAGCTTATTTCACAGTGATCTATGCCTTTTGATTACACACATTAAAGAAAATAGTTAGGTGATTAGGAAGTATGTTTTTATTTTTCAGTCCTTTAACTTTAGTTTTACCGTTTACTTCCTGGGAGCCATGAATTATATAATGACTTGCCCTTCAGTTTAATTTGTCTTTACTTCTGAGTGGATTACATTGATGTGAGCTTGTGTTTTTGTGGACTAGATGTGTCGGAGCTGATGGACGAGGTGGCGTGCCTGTCAGACTCCACATCAGAGGAGCGCTCTCTCAGTTCCTATACTTCTGAGTCCTTTGACAATGGTATGGCTCCAGTGCTAAAAGGACTAATGAATTTTTCATTCCTTAATCACTGGATTTTCCATGTGAAAAACTTTTAATTTTACCTAATTTTACCACATCAGGTTTCTAAATGTCATTCTGAAAAAACAATCTGAGAAAGGAAATTAGCTCTTCAAGTAGACATTGCTTCTTATTTAGGAGCCAAGTAAAAAAGGCTTGGTACCACTGCTATAGTTGAAATTCCCTGGATGTGGGCACAGTCTGAATGTATGCATCACCTGCACCAAAGTCAGCAAACCATTTTCTTGGATTGTATAACTCAATACCATTGATCTTTTCCAGGTAAAGACCACAGAAGTACATCACCCTAATGATCATGTGTGTGGCTGTTCTATTTCAGATAAGGAACCCATGTAGATGCCTTGCCTTCTGTGTAATTAGTGTAGCTGCAAAGAAACTGTCATGCCTCTATTGCTACTTTTTAGGGGATACACACGTACCACATGTGTGCACACATGGTCCCGTACGTTCTTCATCTCATCTCATCCAGCACATGAAACCTTACCCTATTCATGAATGCACTGACTGTTTTTTTCTTTTCTTGTTCTGTATTCTGTCTAGCTTCCATAGTGACAGTCATACATCTAGTCAACGATGCTGTTGATGATATTGAAAGTGAAGGTATGAAAGACCATTGTCCGTGAACTCCGCCAACTCTTTTGCATCCATCGTCTGTAGCCAAAGTGTTTGTTCTGTGGTGTGGCACTAAGATATAGTGGACTGAATGCAGCCAAGCCTTTGCTGTGCTTCAAATGTTCCCCTTTGGTTTCTGGGTTGTTTGTTTGACTTTCGCTTGTTCCTCTGTAGTGTCAAACATAGACAAAGAGCAGCGACGAAACAGCCCTGGTGAGTGAGATACAAAGCCCCTGAGAAGCGCCTCATTAACTTTTCACCCCTTTGGCTTCATTTCACTTCAAGCTGTGATCACAAAACCGAGCTTTTTGAATTCTTCTCATTATTTTCTCTGAATTTTTTTGTCATATCTTCCCGGTTCTGTTTATTTTTTTTCTGCCCTGACTTTGAATCTAAATGTGGGCTCTCGGTTTTTTTTCCAACTTAGTTTCTGATAGGTGGTTCCATTTTGAATCTAGCATAAAGCAAAACATTACAGTAACAGGCTTCTCATCATTGTCACATTTTGTTGCCTAAAGCAGCAGATTATACCAGCTGTAGTGATTAACGATAATCCTAAACCATGACCAAAAGACAATGTAAGTTGTAATATCGGCTTACCAAAGATATTTTACATTGGAAAGGTGTGTGTCAGTTGAAAAGTACAAAGTTTAAATGTCCCACTCAGTGCATGTCTTGACTACAATCAAACTATGGATTCTTATCAAGAATATCCATTAATATTATAGTTTATGTTAGCAGAAATCACATATCAATATCAGGACTGACTCCAAAACACAGCGCCAGTGTGGATCTTCCATAAGTAATTTGATAAAAGGCCACAAAGAAACTGTACAAGCTTGCAAACTACATGTGTTCAGCTTTGTTATCAAATGGAACCCCACGTTCTAACAGTGCTGTGAAACATCTGTGCAAAATAAGACACTTATTTCACTGTCAGGTACTTGTGCTTTTTATCAATTAACAGCTGAAAAAGATCCCAATTGAATCTTAGAGTTTTTGTTCTATTTAATTGCTTCCAACTGTTGAAAGCTAAATGGAAATAATGGGTTTGACTTGGGATTTGCAAGGATTTGGAGTGAATTAGTGGACTGGATATTGACTTGAGTTTAAAAACTGCTATCAAGAAACCTACTTCCAACACATTTTCAGTATAAAACTGCTTTTTTTAACCACATAAAAACATTAGTTAAAAAAATATTTCAAGATGTTCTATGAATAAAACAATTCTCTGATCACAGGCAAGAATGCAACAAAAGAATAAATGCCTGCTGGGTATATATTGTTAATTAAGATCATTTGAATTATGCTGATATTTATTAGCTTAGTCAAACCGGGTGTCATGGCCCTTATTCCAAGCAAAGCAAAGCTTTGACTCTGGCTATGGAGAGGGTCCCACTAGATTTTAGGAGCACTTTGAGCCAAGCTTCACATCTGCACAGAATAACAGAGGAGAAGGAGGCTTCAAACACCTTCTTCACAGGCTGAACACTGACTTTTAACTCTTAATAAATGCATGGTTTGGCCTAAACAAGGATTAGTGCAGTAAGAGCCATGTGTTGGCAGTTGTTTATACTACAGTATAAAACCAATGTTAATTGGAATCTGTTTGTTGTCAGTTGCATGTAATTTACTAGGTCTACAAAGCATTTTATTATATAGTCAAAGGGCGGTTTATGCTTCTGTCACCACCAGGCTAATTAAGCACTAGAGAGAATTAAATGTGGAATGAAATTGGATATGTTACAGTAATATACTGTAAAATATTTTTATATTATATATTTAAATTCTCCTATGTTTGTGCTCATATCAAGGAAGGTGACAGACAATGTCCATATATACACAAACAAGAAAAAATATCTATAATAAAGATTCTGCAATACGGATCTGTAATTTCTCTTGACACATCGCTATTGCCACATGCATAAGTCAGCCTTTCTCTCCTGTCACCAAGTGTTTTCTTCCTTGTCATATTTCACCATGTCTCTCTGCATTCATCTGTCTCTATGAGAAACATCTATCATCATCTAAAGCTTCCTGTCTTGTGACATATTTGTTTTGTTTTTACTGACAGTGAGTCGCCACCTGCAGAGCAAAGACATTTGTGTAGAGTTCATCAAAGAGTACCTAGTGAATTGTAAGATCATTCATTTATTTTCCCCCATAACCCTATCGTTTAATAATATTCCAACCAGATTTATTTCAGCAGCATAGCGTGCACTAAGAACACCCACATGTCTTCTGGTTGATGCTGTTAGATGTCCCTGTACATATGTGTGTCATGCATTATATACTAGAAGCTGGCTCTGCTAATAAGGTACGCTCTCCATCCCACACAGACGCTGACCCCTCTGGCTCCTCTCACAACATCAATATGATATTGTTTCACACATGGCTCATTAACCTAATTATGAATTATCCAACCTGCATGCTGTAGTTTGTAGGAAGTAGTGGATTAGTGGGGAGTTCTGCGTCAGTCCATTTAACAGTAACTGAAATGTAAAACGTTTTTATTTACTGATTTTATATGCACATCGGTAAATGATAAATGGAGCAATTAAACTATGTAAGCGCATAGGAAAAGTAGAGACAAGGCCATTCACAAGCCTCCCACTTCATCAGGAACAAACATGCATACTCAAACATGCACTACACACAAAGGTCAAGCAGCTAAAGGGAGGAGATTATAAGCAGAGGACAAAATAAAGAGTAAAAAATGAAGGACACTGACGGTATGTGTAGTGACGGGTAAATATCTTCAGATCATCAGTGGTGTTACCTCATTTACCTCCCACTGATAAGATTATGATGACACTGTGTTTCTAGAGTCAGTGATTTATTGATGTCACATTTCACCTGATATTACTCCTCCTCTACCACTAATGCAGAAAAGCTGTTTGTACCATAATACACATATTCAAATGAGAACTCCATATCTTCTGTGATTTTGGTAGCACTAGTTTTTGCAGGGAGTAAAGCCACAGGCTCCTAATACAAATCCCTTTCTTAGCTCTCACTCAGCTCTGCATTCCGCTTGTTGTTCCATTAAAAACATATTTGTCACTGAAACTATCAAAAACTTAGTCCTTTTCTTTCCAGCATACCACTGCGAGTCTTCAAGCTGGCTGTCACCATCACGTTTGAGTCCACCAGAGCTGGGATCCCATTGCAACCTCGGTGATACCCAGCAGAACATCAGACGCGGAGGCAGCATGTGTTCTCTCCAGCTGGACTACAGAGTGCAGGGCTATGGTGGCGACAGGGGCCAACAGCAAGGATGGGAGACTGGCAAGAGGACTTTCCAGTGGGAAAGGAATCAGTCGGGTGAGTGGGAGAGGAAATGCATCCTGGACAGCGAAGAAACAAGAAGACATGATGGGGAAGGAATGAACACAGGCAACAGGAGCAGAAACTTGGGAACACTCCAGGACCACAGAGACCTTCAGCAGTTACACAGCTGTGAAGACGGTGCCGCTGCTGTTTATGAGGAATACCGAGAGTGTAGCCATGACCCAGAACAGAGTGAAGACACAGATAGCCTTTATGACACTTTACCCCCAACCCGACAAGCCTACGAAGGATATCCCTCAAGCCCTCCAAGCCTCAACTTGCAGCCAGCTCAACTTCTGCCCCCCCTAAGGGCATGGGACTTACAGATGGGGGAATGGAGGGGATCACAGGATGATCGTGGAGGACTTGGCTCCAGCAATTTGGGAGGTTCTGGGGATGAGCTGGAGAGACTACTGAACCTGGTGTCGCTCAGAACCAGGAGAGCTACACAAATAAACAGAGCCTCCACTGGGTCTGAGCCCGCAACTGGCTGGGATGAATTTAAATGAGCACACAAGACTGTTTCAAGCAAATAGATTTAATATTACTTTATGTACTAAAGAGCAGCAGTGATCCTCTCTGATTATACTTGGCATTTACAAGACTACGCCAGTGGTCCACCACCTGAAAATACTTAAAGGAGAATATTTCTCTATGTACTTTTAATATCCCACATTATTATCCTGCTATAAGCAAACTCTAATCCACCACCAATCCCCTGGCTTGATCTTCACACGCCTTCACCTGTGCTGCATGAGAGTTTTTTAAGATTGGTTGTGAATCAATGCTATGACATTTGTTATTTATAGAATCACTATTATAATCAAAATGTTGTAGATGATGCCCTGTGCTGTACCATACAGTATGTTCTGTTGTCGTGCATTTTACACATTGTTCTTCTGGGTCACACATTTACACAGACACGTGCAATCACTTATGCATTTCTTGTTTTTATTGACACAAGCTGGGTGTTGTTTTAAAGAGAACTATTCACTTAAATCCCCTCATTTAAGTATTATATAGTTGTTTATTTAATAATGATACTTAATTTGTTTGGTTGTTTATAAGCTTCTTCAAAAACAGATTCATCTGCAGGATCTCACTCATTTAATTTTATTTGTTTTATTCATGCAGCTCGTCAACTGTTTTGACCTCTCATTGTCCATACCTCATACTGGTATGGACATATACAGATTCACTGTTTATCATAGTTAAACTGTCTGTAAGAGCACAGATACATGTAGGTCTACCATTTAGTGATAAAAATGTGATAAAGGAGTGAAAACTGTGGTTACGAGGACAAGTTAGAGAACTTTTTTAGACACATTCAACAGCCTCCCCAATCTAGAGTAGGTGTGACCACTATCATCACTATAGCTACTGAATGTTTCTCTTCACAGAGACCAGTACAGTATTTTTCACTTTCAACCATTTTAACAAAATGTCACATTTTGAAAAGGATGAATGAAGTTTAAAAGTTTAATCTACAGTAGGTCAACGTCATCATCAGTGAGCCTTGGGCGCCCAAGACCATGTTGCTGGTTCACTGTGTGTCCTTCCTTAGACACTGTTGGCAGGTACTAACCACTGCAGACCAGGAACACCCACCAAGACCTGCACTCTGGGAGACGCTCTGACCCAGTCATCAGCCACCACAGCCCAGCCCTTGTCAAAGTCACTCAGATTCTTACGCTTTCCCATTTTGACTGCTTCCAACACATCAACTTCAAGGACTGACTGTTCACTTACTGCCTAATATACCCCACACACTGACAGGGGCCACTGTAATGACATAATCAGTGCTATTCACTTCACCTCTTTATGGTCATAATGTTATGGCTGATTGGTGTATTACTAACACTGAATTTTAGCAGCACTACAGTACAGGTGGGATTAACATTTGATATGAATTTTTAGATTTTTATGTGCTGAAATACTTAAAGAATTATGTATAAATGGAGCTGTGGAGCACAGAATCACTCACACAAGACACTTAGCATGGTTGCCTCACCGATAACACAGTGTAAATGCCGCTGTGTTCTCAGTTCACACACAACAAATGGAATTAAACTCTATGTTAAACAACCTTGAAACACAGGCAGAACAAACATGTGGTGGGTAACTAGGAGCATTTAGGGATTAACGTATTCATAATGACAGCTCAGGACAATTGTGGCTTGGGAATAAGCCTGTTTGCTGTCAGAATTAGTAATAGAGACAGCTGCACCAGCCTGCATTCACTGCATACATTCCATATATTGTATCATCTGGTAAACATGACTCCTTGTCTTGGATTTGAAAGGGAAAACAATGCCTCTGACAAAGCGTTCCCTTTGTGGTGTAAAGAAAAACAGTTATGCAGCATCTTACTCAATGCACTGCAAACTGTTTTGGACTCCTGTAGGAGAGTATAGGTTCTACTAAATGTGAATGCAAATCATTCACATCAGGCAATATTTTAATAAACATGTAACAGTGTGAAGGCCTTTTACACAGATTGCACCTAAGACAAAAAAAGTGAAGTGCACACTGTGAGAGGATTCAAGTGGATTTCTCTGAATTCTGACAAAAAGTCATTGAAAGCTGTTTTATATTCTGAATAGTTTTTGCTGGTGTCATTGAAAAATATGTTTGTTCCAATTCTTTGAAAGTGCTGTAACCAACACCAAAAGCCACATACTGTACCAATTAAATTACCTATCCATGGCCTATTCATATGTGCCTATTCAGGTCGACCCTCTAAGTGGATTGCTGAAACGTGTTCCTGCTTGCATGGCAAAGAAACATCCCAGACAGGTCATACTAACACATGGACAAACATTCACTCTTGTGAGGACTGTACAGCTTCTAGTTCACCTGGTCTGCACGTCTGGAAATCCAGTGGGATCATATGATAACGTACAAACTCAAGAGGGTGTAGCATCTTCCAAAGGCTGAAGTTTTAAACCCAGAACCTCAATACTGTGTATGAATACTGCTAACAAGTCCAACACCTTTGCTGTCATGTTTTAATACTTTATTGCCACCCACTGCAGTTGAATCATCTTGCTAAGTACCTTTCAAGTCTTCCAGACTAAAGTTATTTCAGGTCCCTGACATGCTGAGGCACCATGTCTGTGTACCAGTGTGGATATTTGAATGCCTGCACATTACAAGAACTTGAAGATTAAACATTAATCCAGCAGGTTCAGACTTTATTGGAAAGAAAATGGCATTTGTCTCAAGGGAGAATGTGTACTTGGTGTGCGGCAGCAGGTGAGATATGCCAACTACATAAAATAAATAATCCCCATAAAGTATTTAATCCTATCAAATCAGTCTTGTCACACCTTTTACATGTTTTTCTTTCCCGCCAACAGGAATCTGTCATTTAACAGAACTTAAAATCACTGAAGTCCTGCAAAGACACTTGTGCATAAATTGTATGATCAAACAATAAATTGTATTTTGAAATGATTTGAGATTATTTGAAAAGGGTGTTGTGATCATGCCTTGAATTGTTTTGACTGTATGCACTGTCAGCAGCTGAGCAGATATAATCTTCTCATTATGGCCTTTTGTTTGCCGCAGGAGCTTCCTTTGCTGCCTTGAATCAGTGTCCAGCTAATTGTGTGACCTGCTTTGTTGCTGTGAGTTTGAGGTTAGTTCCATAATGACCCAGTACAATCAAGTTGTGCAGATTTTACATCACTAAAAGCAGCAATTTGTGATTAGTTTGTACTTTTTTGTCTATGCGCACATTTGTTTCGTCTTGTACAGCCACACATGAGATATGAAAGCCACATGTCACATCTTTACTATGTGTTTGATTAATGGAAAATGCACATCTGCACATAATTCAGATTAAAGCAACTTTAATTTCTGAATGTTACAAGGTCTACAACCAGCAAGTATGTTGACATTTCTTAATCACTTTGTCTATATGATTAAGAGGTGACCAGTCATTAATTTCTGTTTGGTGAAAGATGATGGTCAGTGTGCTCTTTGTCTACACTTTGCACCTTTTTGGTTATTTCCTCTTCCCTTGTGGAGCTGACACACAAACTTTGTCCTTGTTATCATATAGGCCGCCTCCTCTAAACACCACCAGCCCGTCTGTCTTGTTTCTCACAAAACTTTCCCGTAGTAACCAGACATTATTCTAATTGTGTTTGCATTGTATTTTCTCTGTCACATGCAACCCTTAATAACAATAAGTGTTTGTCTATGTGCGTGTTGTGGCAAAGATATGATGTTTGTCTCTGCATGCTTTTCAATGTTTCAACTTTGATGTAGTGCTGCACAAAGGACAGCAGAGTTGTTTGACACAAGAATAAGTACTTGCCTACTCCTTAACATATAATATTTAAGTGTTGTGTAGACGTGCACTGAGATGAGCTGGCAGCATGCATGCCTTTGGTTTGGGAAAACAAAAAACAACCTTGACAATTTTTATAAAGGTTTCAGGAACCTGCCATGACATCATTTAAAATGAATATCTGCAAAGTGCACATTTTAGAATTTGTCAGCTGCTGCAGCAGTAGCTGTGTATTCATAACAAAAAAGCGTAGATATCATTTGAACCACAAAAGACTCCAAGGCAGAACTCCAGGGAGATGAATCTTTATTTTCCTCAGCCCAGAAAAAAATATTGCATTACTATGTAAAATGCACATACATTTTGAAGAAACCTGTCATTGCAGGAGGCATTCTAAAACTTTGATTAATTATTTTACAGCCTAAAAATAATCACTTTATTTTGCTCAACAAGATCACACCACAGTTCATGCTTCTTCTATTACCCCTGTCTGTCCTTGCAACACAGAAAATGATACTTTATTAATCAGCATTAATCACCTCATTGATTTGTGTTTTATTCCCCTGCTGTCATTGTGTGGGTCACTCAGAATCAACAACAAAATTGTAAACAACACACCACTGTATTGCATACCTGCTTTGTGGAGGGAGGGGAAGAACTACAGGCAGATTATTCATCCAGACTTATATCTTATTAAATTATTCTGACAAGTATTATGCAACATGTCCCAGTAACTCTCTCAGGCATACACTTTTGATGACCATCCTGCTTGTTTAATGGATTCCAAGCGTGCTGGCTGTCCTAATGACAGCCACAGGGTCAAACCAAAGGCAAATATGAGGGCATGTGAAGTAAAAGAGGGACGGAGAGAGCAATAAACAGAGTGACTGTTGTGTTTATTCATCATGCATCAGAGGAAACATATGAGGATCTGCAAGTCCCTTTAGCTCTGCTGGCTTTTGATTGGACCATCTGACATTTGCACCATAGAGTCAGCTAAGCCACTTAAATTCTCTTTCTACACCCACACCTCTAATTTTCCTCCTCCTGCTCACATCTTTTTTTTTTACAATGACATTCTTCCAGATCTGGATGGAAACAGCAGGAAAGGGAGGAGATGGACAGATGTATAAAAGAATGTTATATGAAGGAGGAGGGGAATGAAGGGTAGATCAGGTAAGAAAGACAAGAGATGAGAGGTGAAAAAGGTATGAGAAATTACCATTCAGCAGGTCCTGCTTATTGAGGGGTAGCTGTGTGGGTGATTATAAATCCACACCATTCTCTGTAACACTAGGATTATACAGTACACCCAGCCAGACCTAATCAATGTGCCCAGCATCTGCCTCTGATGGCACACATGCTGCATGCACACAGATACACAGGCACACAGTAATACATGCACATAAACACTCACATGATCATTGTGCACAAATACTTTAATCTTTGGAATATAAGAAGACAGTATGGATACGCTGCTCAAACAAGACAACCGAGGAATGGTAAAATAAAGTGTGAAGGGTTCACATGCATGTATGACGATATGATTTCACATCAGGGAAATGCCCTCAGCTGAATGTGACTGAGTCGAGCTGTGTACCAACCCTATCCCATAACCTCCCACCCCCCTGCTGTTCGAAGAGATGATTACTAAAGCAGTGCTCACTGTTATGTTTGAGAAAGGGAAGTTGCCCCTCATACACTGATCTTACTGCTATTTTGATGTCATTTTCTCATACTTTGGGACATTTCTTTGCGTGAAAGCTTTATTTTCTTGAGGCTACTTTCTGCTAACTTTACAAAGTGCAACTGTTGGATATTTTACCCTCCATAAGTGTTGGCTTGAGCTCTGCTGATGTGAGAGGGGCCTTCAGTCTGCTGCTGGAGTTTATTACGACGCTTCCCAGATTGTCCTGATCTTGTAAGAAAACACACGCTGCCTTAAACAGAGGTGACACAGAATGGTGGATCAAATAGCTTGCTGAGAAATGTAGCTGCTGCATGGGCCTCAGAGCTCAGCTTACATGTCTCAAATCTGAGGAACTGGTATGCTGTTACCCTTCAGGCTACTAAGATCTGACTTTGATAAAAAAGGAGGTCTGCTCTATAAGCGCTTTGATCATCAGGGGGTTTTGTGCTCAGCAGCATAATAAGCAGATTTGCTGAAGTTGCTGCAACTCCAAAATTATTATTAGATCCTTGTTGAATTGTGCAAGTGTAAAATGCCTGTGGTAGTAACCTTTGCAATCTAATGAGTCAAATGTAAGAGGTGATAGAGCATGTGACATTGTTTAATACACCTAAGGCAACCGGAGACTACAAACATCCAGCAAAACACATTCTTGCTGTTACACCTGCTGATATTACTTCTATCACGAACATTTCAAATTGCTAATTTTTCTTGACACTGTAGACAATTGTCAGTTACGTCAGTGAGTTTTTAATAAAACATTCCAGCCTACATCATCTGCAGCTTTTTTTCAAAAGTTAGGTTGTCAAAAGCCTTTCAATGCCAGGTCGACGGGCAGATTGGTGCAGTGTCACAGTAGTCTAATGCAGACATGTTGTGATGAAGGCAATACTTTCAGTTTACAATATTTTCCAACCCTCACCTATGGTCATGACCTTTGGGTAGTGAGCGAATGAATATAATCGAAATACAAGTGACCGAAAGGAGTTTCCTTTATGAGGCCGGTCTCCTAGTGGCAGAAAATGGATGGACATTGCCTTACAGTAACTGCTATAATGGTCAACACTCTATTAGATGCCCATTTTTACTTATATGCAATAAAAAAGAGTAAGGCTCCACAGTTGTCTTTTTATTTCCAGTCCTATTTTTGTTCTCATTTCCATAAGCTTAAGGTTATCAAAGGGTCCTTCAGAGGAGGCATTCACTGTAATCACAATAGCTATGGATTCAGAATCGTGGTTAATGGTGCATTATCAAGGCTTTGCCATTTTCAGCTGGCTGGTTTGTTTTGTGTTGTGTTTACAGTCAGTGCTTCATGTGTGATATTGTTCCGCATTTATTCAATAATTCAGTTTCCATGTGTATGTGTATTTGCATGCCTGGCTGACCTCAAAGTCAGAAATGTTTATCTCCTGGTCATCACATTAGGCTTGTGGAACACATCAACCTGCTCTAATCTCTTCCTGCTGCTATGCTTGAGGACATCCACTACTGCCATTCACCCAGTAAAGATTTAAGCAAGTGAATGTCACTGGCCTCAATGTGTCACCACTAGCACTGACAGTATTGATGACATATAAAACCACTGGATCTGATGGAGAGATGGACAGCATCATTGCCACCAGTTATCCGTGGTAAGGATGAATGGGATTATATTTTCAGCTCTGACTGCACTGTACACTGTAATGAACCCAGTAAATGAGAATATTTATTCATTTCTGAATTTTGTTAGTTACTGTGCCTCCAAATAGTTCTGTCTACATGAATCACACATGCTCTACATAAGTCACAGGTTGCTGATTAGACGCGCAGTGCCGACCCACCACTGTGTGCACCTCGGAGCTTTGCACTGAGATCAAAGGAAGATTCTGGGAAGACGCGCTTGGAGTCGCTGGGGGGAATGACAGAAATCTTTGCTGGCACACGCACCTCGATGTGGTAGGAAGTGAGAAAGTAAAAAAAACAAACAAAAAAAAAACAATAAGAAGACAGGCAAAAAAGAAAAGCATAAAGCCAAGTAGGAAGGTATAAATGTTCGTGTATCCCCGACTCGGTCCATCCTCATTCTGAGTTTCTCCAAACCCTGGGCTTGACTGAGGGGCTTCTCACAGTGCCACCTCGCCACGCACAGCGCCGGTTGTCGTAGTTCAAACGTTCAAGTAAGGGCACAACAAATGGATAGAGAAGACACTTCCTCCGCTTTTTCCCCGATTCCCGCGACGATAGAATGGTTGACATTTTGGAAAGGAGCCCTTTTTTTCCTCCTGAGCGCACGCAGACGGACAGAAGTTAGACATGCCTACCAGCAAGCCAGAAACACCTGCGGAGGAGGAAGACGTAAAATATGAGTGGTCTGGACAGCCTTTACTGAAATATTTTTAAATGACAAAAAAAATATCACTTCCTCACCAGTGGCACCTCAGCGTGTTCGGGCTTTTGGTGGCACATGGATGGATCACTTGTGCAAAGATAAAAACCAAGAGTCCATGTAACTTTGAATAGGTCGCATATAATCAGCGCACAATAACAAGTACAGTAAATAACTAATATCGCTTTTAAGTAGCGGACTGGACGTGCGCTCTTGTGTAACTCAGGGAGGAACCCAGGTGCGTCCCATGTTTCATTTAGGGAAAACCGGTACCGGCTGTACCTGTAGGACATAAAGTGGAGTTGGGACTTGAAGGCAACGTTTGGCTGTGGGCCAGTGATGCCGGACACATTCACACTCATAAAGAACCGGACAGAACCACGGCTGGGACAGCCGGAGCGCACACTGGCCACAGTTGGGAGTGCCCGCCCGACCTGGGTCATAGCAGTCCTGGCCGGTGTATTGATCTTCACCACGGTGGTGGATGTGCTGGGGAATCTGCTGGTGATCATATCGGTGTTTAGGAACCGCAAGCTGAGGAACTCTGGTAAGATCTTCTGTACCTTTCAGTGGTATAGCTTAATTTTATCCTATTTAGAGGGTTGTTAACCTATAATTAGTGATCATAATAGAAGGAAAAGTCTTCATGCACTTAAGCCTGTGCCTTTACTAGTTTTTCTCATTGCTATGGTGTTATGGGGTTTGGCTAATAATGTAGACTATAAGCTATATGCCTGTGTGAGAAATGGGGGGGGGATTTTGGTGGTTAAATCTAGTTTGTTTTACCCATCACATCTTTCTCTCTCTAAATTGCTTGTGGATATTCCAACATTTGACCTATTAACCCTGGAGTGCACTTTGCCCCATAACATCACTTCACCTCATCAGTGACAAAACCACACTAAGCTCACATCACATATTAGCTGAAAGTCTACTCTTGGATTAAGGTTTCAACTTGTGTCAGTTTGCTTACAACGCAAAGCTTCTAGTTGATAATATTATCCAGAGCACCACAGACTTTATACCTTGCTCATATGACTGACATGAGTGATGACTGACGCAGTGCTGACTTAAACAGGGATTTGGGTATAATTGCCATTAGGTGATAGTGTGTTGAATTAATATTACACGCTGGTAACAGCTTGAATGATACCTTGACGTGTTGCCTCTCTTTCTTTAGTCTTACACTGTTTTTTGGTAAAATTCAAAGGAAGTCTGATTCACACCTGCTGTGTAAGAGCTAGGTCATAAGGACAGGTGAGTCCTTTTGAAAAGCTGACTGCTCCAGCGTTGCATGTTTGTGTGGTGAACCAATGTGGATGTGTGAAATTACTAAGGAGGTCTCCTGCTGTTATAGTGAAGCACAGTGCCAATTCATAAAGCACAAAAGCACTCTTTCTCTGAATCCTCACTGCAGGTAAAAATATACTCCTGGGTTGTTATTCAACATCTTTCTGATGAAAATGAACACATTTGAAACGTTTTACCAAATTATGTAAAGCTTTTTTAGTGTAAGTGGTTTACCACCTTGTGCCACTCTCCATTACAATCTACTGACACTTTTTGTATACAAATTTACTGGAGCGTTTGAATGCAGCGCTGTCTTCAGAGAAAGACTGACACTCTACAGTAGCATGAATGATATTTTTAACTACAGTTTAGAAAAGGTTCCACTTACTCATAGCTCTGAATAACCTTCCACCAAGGTTATGTGGAAATCAAAAAAGTAAAGAAAGATAATGTTAAATTGTATAGCAGGAACAATATGTCAAGTGTTCATTGTAGTGCAATCTACAGACATTCTTTTAATCATGATTTTATAAGAATCAGATGATGGTGGTTGTTTTTGTCCCAGCTTAAACACACACAAACACAGACTGGTATTCTATAGAAATCATTATAATAGATAAGATGATGCTCTAATGTACTGTGATCACATTTACCCTTTGGGAAGTTTATCAGTCCACGGAGCGTGAGTCAAGTGCCTCTTTTACATTTAAGAGAAAGCGATTTTGTCTTGGATCATGTTAATATTTTGCTGCTTTAGGACCATGATGCTGCCAAAGGACTCAACAGTTACATTTTGCATTCTAGGACACATAGTACACCTGTTAGTCTTTTCCACATTTTAAGAACAGTTGTCTGCACAGGGACAACTGGTTTAATCACCTTTCTACTGTTTACCCCATAGGGAGCAACTAATAAACCAGATAAGACTAATGCATAATGAAAAAAATAATAATTTTATGGCTTTGATAAAATTTGCCTGCTAAATTTCTTAAGGTGCTCTTGGATGTCTTATCCCTAATTTTAAACTTTCTAGGTTTCCTATAGCCTATGATTCTAGGAAGAGTATCATCAAAACTTACATTGTGTTTCTTTTTGCCACTCACATGCTGCACTTTTCCCTTAAAGTTCATCTGGTGCAACTCAAACAGCCCACTCAGCAGCAAACTCGAAGAATGGTTACTGTAGATTGAAACAACCCACTCAATAGTTTAGATGAGAAAACACCTGACTTAACAACCATATACAGTACAAACCATCACAGCAGGAGCAGAGGGTAGCATATGCTTACTCGCTACAGTTGTCATAGCTTTGCATAAGTTCCTGCTCTGGAAGAGTGAACATAGTAAACAAATTGTTGGACTGCAAAATTTCATCAGATACGGTCGATGAGTTATGACATACTCAGCTTTATTCTCACCAGCTTTATTCTCACCTACCTACTATCCTGATAAATGCATCCACATACATACAACAAAGCTGAGGACACCTCTGTGCAATATCACCCAAGTTTAAATTATTCAAAATTGTATAATTTTATAATAACTGTAGTGTAGTGTATATAAATATAAGTCAAAACACAGTGGCAGCAGTGGTTAAAAGGTGCACGAAGAGCTGTACTACCAATAATAAAGGACACAGTTTCCATCCTCAAACAATGACTCCATGCACAATTTACTGTGCAACCTTGCATTGACAAACAGGCTGTAGGTGCTTCTGACACACATAGCATAGGAATTATTTGTGAAAATGTGTGTTTCAGACAGCGTGACGTGACACAGCACAATGTCAGCCCCTATGGACGGTGTCCAAGGTGGAGGGAGGAATCGTTACTCACAAAATGGCACAAAATTGCAGATTAAAGTTTGCTTTGGTTCTGACATGTTTGGTGTGAACCTGGCCAGAGTTGTCACAATGACGATCCCATGTTTTTTTGTTTTGTTTTGTTTTTTCAGAACAAAAACTGTAAGCTGGCCAAGTATGTCCCCCGATTTGACTCCAAAATAACACTTTTGGAGGCAGAGCAACAAAAGAGCAGCAACAGACAAAATATTTAATTGGCTTGATTCTTCCTGGACTGTGGCTATAACGGAATGGACAGGATTTGTAAATAGTTCACATTTTAGAAATATTAACTATGGATGTGGACTATGGATGAAGTTTGTTTTGTACTGTACATTCAAATGAAGATGTCTGTTGACTGCAATTCACAGTCAGTCCAGTTGGAAGCTCCAAAAATAAAATAAAAAATTCACCCCTGTTAATTACTTTTTTTTTTTTTTTTTTTTTTTTTGCCATGGAGGCAATTGTGCGTTTGATTTTCATTCATTAAAATCAAAACAACGAATCAACCAGCTTTATAGGCGGTCAGATCAATCAGATTTTTTAAAATCCTCTGGAGCTTCCTCAGATTTCTGATGCACAGTTTTAAAAGGTTCTCCAAACCAAACAGCTGAAGACGGGCTCATACCATCCACCCAACCACCCAACTGGAACTGTTTTATGTGCGTAACAGGGGCGATAGGGAAAAGGAGAGATCACAGAGCAGGCAGAATAGAAATAGAGAGGTGTTAAGATGTAGCTCAGAATGAAAATGGAAGAGATTAGACACAGGGCTCTGTTGATAGTTTGATTTGAATTAATGAGTTTAATTAACACTGAAAAATTTGGAATCAACCATGAAATTTGATTTGATGCCCCATTATACACCCTACTGTGACAAATATTAACCATTCTGTCTTGTTACATTATGTAGTTTCATGTAGAATCTACAGGGGAGCTGAGTTGTCACTAATGTATAATGCATTGGAGGAGAGCTGTTGTTTTTTGTTTTGTTTTGTTTTGTATGAGCTGAGGTTTTGCCATATAATTCTTTCATCAAGTGGTTATAGTAAGCTTTTTTTTTTTTACTCAGTATGCATATAGGCAGAAGTGAAGGGTGAAGCTTGGACTTGACTGCTGGGAAGTTTTTCTGCAGCTTTAAGTGCTCTCAGAGTCTCCCTCTGCCTGAGCCATGCCTAGACACTATCCTGGATCTTTTGGGCAAAGCATGATTTCTGTAGCACGTTGAAGCACAGACAACAGGATAAAGGAAACAGTAGGAGTCCTGACCAGCTAAAAGGAGAGGAGCAAGGTAACAGAGGGAGAAGTTAAAAATGACAAGGTCATAGGCTTTAAAGTAGAGAAAGACATAGCAACATTTAAAAAAGAAATGAAAAGAGCTGGGGACATTGTCGGACAGTGGAAGGAATAATTCAAGGATCTCCTCAATCCCGG